CACACACACACACACACACACACACACACACACACACACACACACACGCACACACACACACAGACAGACACAGATACACATGACTAATACAGATAGATACACACAGAAATGCACACACCCTGCCTCCTTCATATGCTAGCCTCCCATGCATGGGCCCCCTAAAACTGGGTGCACTCAGTGATCCCTTTCCAAAGCCCTCATCTAAATGTGAGCAGAGGTAATCCTTCAAGGAGAGGCAAAGGGAACAGCGATGACCAAAGATAAAGAGGGGCCGAAGGAGGAAAAAGAGAACGACAGAGGGAAAGAGGTCGAGCACGAGATGGGATAGATTAGCAGGATGAGGGGATTAGCAATGAAGAAAAAAGAAAGAAAAATGAAGTCAAGTGAAGGCGGGGGAGAGGAGAACGGTTTAAAGAAACATATTAAAAAGGCAGAGATGATGCATGTATGGGAAAGTAAAAGGACATGTACATTCAGTATACTCACAGATGAATGAGAGGGTGACCGGAGAAGTGATGAAAAATCATGTCAAAAAAGAAAAAGCAAATGCAACCACAGACTGCAAGTCTGAGTTTGACAAGAAGTCCAGTTTCTTCTCATTCTGGAGTTTTCTTTTTTCTCTTTTTTTCCCGCGATTTTGCCAATTCCTATCCAGCCGTCCCTCCTTCCTAAGTTTATCCCCTACTGGTCCCCCTTCTCTGCTCTTCCCCCTCCTGTTTTTCTTGCCAGTACCGGTACTCTTTCTCCTACCTCTCTCTCTTTCTCTGTCTTTCTCGCTTTCTCCCGCAGACCATGCTCTCCATTTTCTCGTCATTCTTTGCCTCTGTCCCCTTAATCTGTCCATTCATCAGACACTCTTTTCTTTTTCTTCAACCCTCAGCTCCTGCTTCATGCAGATACGATTTTTTAAAACAGAAGTCGAGCTCTGAGGAAAAAAAAATACTGCAAAAGAATAGAAAAAAACTGTTAACAGGAAAGGACAAGCACTTTGTCATTAGCTCTAACGCAGGGACAATCCACGGGCTGCGTTTTTCAGGGGCGCCAGGCATAGGAGGGGTGATGGTGCCTCCGTACACGAGGGCATAACCGAAGCAAAGAGTGGCAAGTAAAAGAAAAAGAAGGAATAAAACCTAGCTCGTTACGGTCTCCACTGGAAGTGGATAGTAAGCCCGCGTGAGGGGAAGGAGTGGGAAGGACTCCGGGGTGTGTGTGTGTGTGTGTGTGAAGAGGTGGGAGGAGAGAGAAAGCGAGAAGACAGAGAGAGAGAGAGAGAGAGAGAGAGAGAGAGAGAGAGAGAGAGAGACACTGGGGGTTCATGAAGAAATATCTAAGAGGGAGGGATGGAGGAGGAGTGTGTCGGTGGGGAGAGGAAAGAGGAGGGGGCAGGAATAGGAATACATTTTTTGTCATTTTTATGCTCACGCTATTCAAATTTTGGGCTTTCTCATTTTTTCACCCCTTTGTTCCACAGCTAATACCTTCTCTTTCTGTAAGAAGGAAATAGCGAAGAAGAAAGAAGAAGAGAAAGAGCTACTGTGTGCTTTGTCTCCTGCCCCTACTGCTCCTTTTCCTGGTTTCCTTTCTGCTCTGACTCCCCTCTATTCAGCCTATTTTCTGCACGTGGACTTGAACTCTAAATCCTGTTTGCTTTCCCCTCCCCTCTCTTTTTCTTTCTCTCTCTCTCTCTCTCTCTCTCTCTCTCTCTCTCTCTCTCTCTCCCTCTAACTGCGCATCTGTGCGTCTCTGCCTCTCTCTCTCTCTCTCTCTCCTAGGCAGTGGCTTGAAATAGTGCTAGCAGGAAGGAGAGAGCAGGCGGCAGGGAAAAGGAGAGGGCGAGGGGGACAAAAAAGGGGAGAGAGATGTTGAGAGGGGGAGGGGAAGAAGCTTAGATGGGCTGACATAGAGAGCACAGGGCTGCTCTGTGTGTGTGTGTGTGTGTGTGTGTGTGTATGGACATTTATAAACTCACATTGGCTTTAGATGCAGTGTTTCACACGGTGGTGGTAATCCGCATATCATGTTAGCCTACATACCAGAAAATAAATACATGACTTTTTAGGGTCAAGGAGAGCAATAATTAAAACGTTGGGATTTTCTGTATTTTCTCCAGTTTATAGTATACAACACATAGAAAAACACTAAAAAAAAATCAAGCAATGCTTTGGAGACATACTATATAATTAGTCTTGCAAGGATTCATCCAACTATTTTTGTAAAATGTCACAAATAATGAAAGCGTCTTATCTCAAGCTACCAGACCAAAATGTGATGCCTTCAACCTGTTCATGTTTTTGAATTGACAATCAAAACCCTAAAGGGATTCAATTTACAATGAAATGAGCAAATCCTCACATTTAAGAAGTGGTTACAAGCTAATGTCTGGCATTTTTACCAAAGATTACAAAACTTACACAATGAATCAATTGTATTATTTTTCAACTGACTATCAGTTAATTGACTAAACATATCTTCCTCATGTTTATTTTAATGTTTGCTTTCTGGGTTTCACATCACTATAGAATGACTACTGTGCAGTTTTATTGCTTCCATGTCAGAATTAAGTAGGGAAACCTTGATCTCCGGTATCTGGTAATTGGCTTTTGCCATTATTGTTACATTTTATACACTAAATGAGTCGGTACAACTTACATTATGTGAACCTGAGAAAAATCGTGTTTTACAGTTATGCTGAAGGTTGCCTGAAGATAGTGTTGCAGGTTGACAGAGGGTGGCATGAATGAGGCATTGAGATCACTTAATTACTCTTGCTATTTTTTTAGTAAGGGATTAAGGGAAAGAGCTGAGAACAGAGGAGAAAGCAGGCAGGTCACGGGAGGTAGGAGAGAAATTTGCTGAAAACCTATTCACCTTGGTTATGAAGCGTTTTCTGTATGCTGTCTTTAGACATAACTAACTACATTTGGGCCAGGAATGGGGTCCTGTTTTATTAATAAAATCCTCCTAACAGTCACTGCATACTGCCTTTTTTTCCAAGGACAGCAATCACCCTGGAAAACAGAGGCCTGCACTACAGCCTGAATCTAAAAAGATGGCATGCCACTGGCAGCAAATACTGTATCGATGATGAAAGAAAGCAATTACATTTCATGAAAAGCGTTATCTCAACCTTTAAAATGTATCATAATTCACATTAACTTCTGAATTTCTTTTAAGCCATGAGTACATTTTTACACATCAGCTGCACTCTATGCAGCAAAGATGATGACTGTATTTGCAGGCAGTGAATGCCCCCAGCTGGTTAAAATAAAAAAGAAGGAAACTAAAAGGTTACCAACCATCCACTGGTGGTGTCTTCCTCACCGAGTTGATTTCTCCTCGCTTGCTGACTGCAGCACAATTCTTGGAAGACCTTTTGAGTCCAGTAAAGCAGAGAAATGGGCCTGAGATGTGAAATGTGCGCCACAACACTGCCCTCTGCTGGGATTCAATGGGAACAGCTCAACCTCACACCAAGCATCGTCACAGTGGAAAGGCTCATTTTTTTAACATTGTTTAACCATCAACATGGCACATACACGAGGCATACAGTGTGATTAAATATACATGGAGAATATTACCGTTGCTGTTTGAGTTACTTTGGTTTAAGGGCTGAGTTAAGCAGGGATTTCAAGCTGCTGGCGAGGTGATTTCAGGCTACGGTGCCATCACTGTCAAATGAGGGCAGTCTCCCTCCCTCCCTCCTCAGCATCCTTCCTTTGACTGCATAGCTGCCATCGGCTAAACTGGGACTAAACTCCATCACATCAAATGTAAGGATTGCTGTTACTGGATATTATGGGAGCTGTATGTGTGGGAAACATACAAGACAGTTATAGCTAGCTAACTTACTGCTACTTTAGCAAGCTAGCAGCGATCATTAGCAAAGAGTTCCAACTTGGCTATTATGTAACAATTTAAAATTAAATTTAAAGCTCACCCTTTTCTCCAATTAGCTTTTTAGATGCCCAGTGCCACTGTGGAATAAGTCAGCCAGCAGGAGCTTGTGAGGGCCCATGTCAGTCTTCTTCTAAAAGTAAGTAAAGTTCAAAACCGGCCTGCGCTACGTGACTGGCTGATCCACCTGTCAATCACATAGACTGATGGTGGAGGTCTAAGTAAACGTCTGTGAAACATCACGGGGTCAAAAATAGGTCAAACAATGTTGTATTTTTTTTTTTTTTTTTAAATCTATTTAAAGCTGGGGTAATTGATTTCAAGTGTCAATTAAGTGATGTGAGAAATGCACTCTGTGGAGCCAAATACAAATTTAACGCTGGGCAGATACCACAGAAAATCAGATTGTTGGGGAATAATTGGGGAATTGAGTGTCTCAGCAGTATAGAATAGATACATTATGATTATCTACTTAAAATAAAGCATGTAAAAGCTAAATTAAAGGTATTAATTACTATATACACCAACATAAATAGTAACTATAAAGTGAATTGAACTAAATAATCACAAACAAATTGAAGAGACAAGGAATATACAAAAATTGCACTTGATGGGAGTATCGTCGGTCTACAGATAGCAGTATGAAAATGATAAAAGAAGCCAATCTGAGTAAAAGTACCTCACTGCCTCCATTTAGGGCTCCTAATGGCAAAATAAATGTATGACAAACTTTCTAAATATGTCTTTATATTAGAAACAATAGCATAATATTTCTGATATAATTCAAAAATCTGACAATGTATGACAATTAATATACAATAAATATTGTGCAAATTATAATCTAATATATTTTTGATTTTCATTTGACTCAAAGGCATTACTGTTATTACTGTTAGTTTTGATACACATAGTATTACATGTTGATATAAATAAAATGAGGAAAGCTTTGGATTATGGCCCGCAGCGTGCAGCATAATTCCTCCCAATCAAATCCAAATTAAATCATGAATAATTGTAGTCTTTACTGATTGTTTACTAGTACAGAATGTAATGATACATACATGGAGGGGCAAGGGAACAAGATGTGACGTTAATGAATAAGGGGGAAACTGTGGGAACTTAATGAATTCATATCATTATTATTATTTTTTTATAACACTGCTGTAGTTTATTTCAAAATGATCATATATAACTTACCAACACTGGAGGGGCACAGATGATAACAAAATAAGGAACTACATAGATAATAACTTCAACAATCCAGTCCTTTAATCAAGAGACTCCTCGGCTCTGATTGGTTGTTTTTCATAGGTTATCTGTCACATGTACTACTGTCAGGATATAGTGATAGTATCAGCAAAAAAATACAAATTTTGTTTTTTAATTAAAGTTACCGACTGTAGCTTTAAGTGATATATATTTGTATCACTACATAGATAATGAAGAGATGCTTGTAAAAGTAGCCAGCAAATTATTTACGCACCTCAGTTTGGATAGGCTTTACACTGTCACAGATATATGATGTAGCTAATACTTCATATGCCTGCTTACGGAGGTATGATGTCACCATGTGATCTGCTGACTACGGTCAGAGGAAGTGCTTGCAAAGGTTGTTTGATTAAGGTACAATAATAATAATAATACATTTTATTTGTATCGCGCTTTAAAAGGTCCTCAAAGGCACTTTACATGGTAAAAACAGAAACAATAAAAGCCATTACTATATAAACAAAAGAGATGAAATAACAGTAAGGAACAACACAAAAACATACATAACTAGCTTCACAGGTTAAAAGCAGATTTTAATAGGCGAATTTAAAGTGCAGATTTGAAAGTGGCGAGTGACGGAGAATATCTGAGGTGCTGGGGGAGAGAGTTCCAGAGGGAAGGTATGCAGCAGGTAGGCAGCAATGGTATGATTACTCTTTATTGCTAAAAGTAAGTGGACTCTCCTGTCCACATACTTTGTGTACTTTTGGTAAGGCCCATGGTTTTGGATTTATACGTTCAACTATCACAGATCAGTTGAAAATGCATGTGTCGACACTTTGACAGATGCTGTGTGTGTTGAGCTTCCATCTGATCATCAATAGGTTGTGGATGTCAAGTAATTAACTAGTGACTAATTACAAACTGTTCCACTGTAAATTATCTTGTATGGTAACTAAGGCCTGTGGGTAGATTCATATTTTTTCTTCTAAAACATAAAATACATCAGTAGATACCTCTTTAGAGAATTTGAAGCTTTTACGTGTCTTAAAAAAGGTGGTTGCTAACAAGTGGCTAAATGAGACTACAAAACGTCATGATGCGGAGTAGTTTGTCTTTAGCTTAGTGTTGGTGAAGTAAAGTCATGTGACCATGGTCACCATGGTGTACAAAATGTGTAAGTATCATAAACGTTTGTTTGCCACAGAGCTTATTTTCTGAAATTATCCAAAAGCCAATCGAAAAACCCCATTGGCATTTTGTCGAGGGCGATGTAGCTTCCAGATTGGCCGACAAAACTACTTCATCCCTGTGGCACTCTATAAGAAGTAGACATAGTCACTGTGACGTCAACCATAGGTTGTAAACTACCACTTTGAAGCCTTTGAAGATTAGCATTTTGGCAGTAGCCATCTTGTTTCTTTGGAACCAGAAGTGACCATATTTGGGCGAGATGGCGGAAGTGAGGAAGAGCGAGGCCTGCCAGGGCCAGGTACTGTTTGCAGCCCTGTTGGCCATCACAAAGAATGCAGGTTTCGGGCACTTGTGCATTGGCTTCACTTTTCAGATCCAGAGGTTGCCCCTTGTTGAGAGGACTATTTCATATGTCAGTTGTTGCACCAAGTATAAAAAGCAGAACACTGGCTGATCTCACCGAAGACCCGTGTTTGTGCCTCTCGGCCATTACTTCCCGGAAAGATAGCCTGCCTTCACAAACTCCGGTGAAGAATTAACCACTTTCATGAACAAGATTTGTTTATGTTCATATTCAGAGTTAAACAAGATATTTATGGCCAACAGCAACGCTAATTGTGAGAAACAGCATGGCTACAGCTATAAAGCCCTACTGGCACTCCCCTACGACACAAGTGCCTATGTGTGAAATCAATCCCATTTTCCTGCACCTTATGTTTTTTTTTTAGAAAACTGTCAAGTCAGTTGACTCATCAAATCAACTGATAATTGATTCTTCAGGTCTGGCAAACTAAAGGTCCCGGAATGGGTTGACACCGTGGAGGTTGCCAGGCACAAGCAGCTGGCTCCCTGCAATGACAACTGGTTTTACACCAGAGCAGGTTGGTTACGCTTGATGTGTTTCCCATGCATCAATTCATCTGCCACAGCTGAAACGATTGATAGATGAATTGAATATTAATTTACCAAATATAAATGCAAAGAATCTGTAGTTTCTATATTCTCTAATGTTAGGATTAGCTGATATTATTCATTAGTTACAGCCTGTAAGTAGATTTTCTATAACTGGTACAATATACATGTAAGTACATGAGCACAACTCTCTCTGCTGTTATGTATGTTATCTACTTAGACATATTGGCCCTTCAAAAGCAAGAGTTTACAGAGAAAAATGTCACATATGTGATAAGTTGGAATGTTTGATTTCATGTCTTTTGGTCAAGAGCTTTTTCAGATGATAAAACAAGGATATATTGCAACATAATACCTTATACCGTTGTTTGCATGTTTGACCAGCATCCACAGCTCCTCACCTGTACCTGCAACGAGGAGTCGGCATGGGCTCCATGATCAAGATCTACAGAGGGCGTCAGAGTAAGTGATGGCGAGGAAGGTCCTCCAGGCTCTCAAGATGGTGGAGAAGGACCCAAATAATGAGTTGGTGAGAGAGAGAGAGAGAGAAAAGTGCGATACAAATAGTTATTTATTATTATGTCATCGCTAAATATTTTTTTATTTGCACACCTTGTTTGATATGGCTGCATGGCTATCCCCTCTGCTCTCTGTCTTTTCCTTTGTATGTTTCAGGTTGCCTCAGCAAACAAGAAACAGAGAAGTTTACAAAGCACCATCTGAGGAATGCATGCAAACAAGTGAAATGCAGTTATGCCTTATTGCTTATTTACTCAAGTTCGCGTGTCTCCCATATCACTCAAGTGTCCACGGTAACCAAGTACGAACAGTATTTCATAGAGAGGCATGAGTCTATAGTACAATAAGTACAAACTAAATATTAAACCTGAATGTTTTGCAAAGGTTTTAAGTTTATCTTTTGTTCATTTATTCATTGTGAATTTCAAGACAGCAGTGGCCTTGTGTCAGCGCAGAATGGATACAGAACCAGTGAAAAATACAAAATGACCCAGTAAGAGCATGTTAATGTGTTTGACAGCAACTGTGAAACTCAAAGCAGAAAAACAAAACAAATTCGGTGGATGCTGATGTATATTTTTATTAATTTGTCCAATTCTTCAGAATATTATGCCTAAGCATGTTATTCCTGAGATGTATATATGTGAAATAGCAATGCAAAGGGTGTTTCAAATAAACTGAGGATGAACACTGATTATGCTGTTGTAATGTCAGCTTGCACGCATTGATGTATGGGTGAGGGAGTGCGTTTAGTTGTTGCGCATGGTGGTGCTGATCCAGTTGTTGTAGCGGCACACGCGGGCGTAGACACTGGGGTGTCCCTTCATGGCGCAGTCGTAACCCCAGGACACAACTCCCTGCAGCTGACCATTACACACCAGAGGACCACCAGAGTCTCCCTGCAACACAAGCAGAAGAAGAATAACAGGAGTTTAAATGTAAATCCATGGTATGTGCTGTCGTTATGGTGAGCAATGTAACTCAAGATCAAAAGGTAACAGTCACAGTTGTTCATCCCTGTTTCACCTTTGGGTAGAGGGTTGAGATCCATTTAGAGGCATGTGTGTATATATATATATATATATATATATATATATATATATATGTATATATGTATATATATATATATATATATACACACACATCCTTGAATCCTTAATTAAAGGATTTTAGACTAGATATATGCAGCATTTGCATTGAAAGAGCAATTAAACTCAGTAAGTGCTATAGTGTGGACTCACGACACCAAGTCACAGACTTGTCCTGCTGCAATAGATGCACACTTGTGCACCACCTGACTCCCTGTGAGTTCACTGTGGTTTAGTCCAACTCACTTGACAGCTGCTGGCACCTCCATTCATGAATCCTGAGCAAAGCATGTTGTCGGTCAACATATGGGGATAGGCGTTCCTGCAGATCCTGTCATCAATGATGGGCTGCCTCAGACACTGCAGCCTGTCAGGATAGTTGTCTGTGGAGCGGGAAGGTAAGTCTCAGTTACTGTACCTACCATTATGTAAATACTAGATGTACTTGGCATTACATGGAAATAATGTAGTATAATATGAGTAATGTAGTAATGAGTTGACGAAATGATTTGTTGATAGAAAAGTATGTGACTCCCATTTTGCTGATTCTTTTCTTTATTAGTAAAGTAAAATGCCAAACGTTTGGTGGTTGCCACTTCCTTAATGTCAAGATTTGCTGCTCTCTTCTAATTCACATCATTGTAAAATTATTACCTTTGGGTTTGGAACCACTAGTCGAACAAAAGAAGCAATGTAAATATGTCATATCGTATTTTTCACTATAATCCCACATATATAAAAAATACTCAGTTGCTGCTTTAATTTGTTTGAGCCCTGCATTTTGAGACCTAGAGATGCATGTCACTGTGCATTATTGCAAAACAAACAGTATATTAGGCCTTACATATCATACAGTGTGTGATATGTATGATTTTAAAAAATTCCAGTTTGTCTGTGTTAAAGGGTACTCCAGCTATGTGCTACTGCACTTCCATAAAGTTGAGGGACTTGGAAAAAACAAAAACTCCCCTCTGCCTCCTAATACCCACTTCGTTCAGACCCAACACCTCAGTTTGTCATGCAGGCACACTGGTGAAATGATTAAGTCTCAAGACAAACAAAAAAAGCTTAATGCTACTCTGACTTAATGCTGTATAAGTCATCCTACATTATCATTTGAGACCATGCATATAACCTTTCTTCTCTCCCAGCTTCTAGACTCAACTTACCTCCGTTGGTGGCGGTGTTGCCCCACCCGGACACCAGGCACATCTCGTTGGGCTGAGGGCAGCGGGAGGGCAGGGATACGGTCCGGACGTTGCTGTTGAGGGTGGCAGGGCGGCTCAGTTTGATCAGCATGATGTCGTTGTCTAGATTGTTGCTGTTGTACTGTGGGTGCTTGATCATCTTGACGCCATCAATCCACTGCTCCGTGCCCTCATTCACAGCGATGTTGTGTTCGCCAAGGCGGACCTGGATACGACTGGAGGAGGTATGAATGTTTAGACAGTTTAAATGTCTGTTTGGTTAAAAATTATTTCTGAATACTTAAATAATCATCTTTAAGAGTCATAAAGTTAATGACCTGACTCAGTGGCGTCATTAGAAAGCATACGTATATGTGGTTAAAGAAAACATTAGCCACCATATGTTTGTGTGCAGATGTGCTCACACTAGAGTTGGATCCAGTTTAACATTCCCTTCTTATAACAACCTCAACTGACAGTTCAATAGCAGCTCATTTCTATCTGAGTGACAGTAATGTAATTATCATTATGTCAATCAGGCAGCTTGTGGAAGACTCCAGTGACGAGCAATGAGTGGACGGGCAGAATGTTCTCAGGGTTATTTTTCTTGATACTGGACCAACTCTTCACATTGCCTTTAATTTAACACTTGTTTATGGTATCTCATCTTTTTCAGTTTCCAATTTGCTTACAATAAAAACTTAAAAGGCCGACTCGTGTTTTCAACCTTTACTTGAAGTGCATTCAGCTTGGTGCATGGCTGTGCACCTACAGAGTGCAAAAGACCAATAAAACCCCAGTACTGAAGCACGATCACTATTGATCCTTGGATTGATAGTAGGACATACAGTATGTCTTGCAGGGTACATAAATTGATTGTAATGCAAAAACGATTTTACTTCCGGTACTTACGACTTGTAGCAGTGAGCAGCTGACACCACCCACTGGCTGGAGATGAGGGATCCACCACAGAAGTGATACCCGGCGTTCAGAGAAACCTGATAGGGAACCGAGTTTCTGGGACACTCAGAACCTCCGACAATCTTATCCTCAGCTGCAGCAACTGAAACAACATGTGAGGATTATGACATGAAATACAACCTAGAAATACTTAACCATAGCCATGAATAGAAAATAAAATACATAAAAGGTTTTTAGCAGTTAAAACTTGTTTAAAAAACGACAGTCCTGTAACATGTGCACAAGAGTACATTTAAAGTTAAAGTTAATCAAAACAAAATAGGACAATAATAATTTGATTAGTCTCTTACACGCTGCTCCAAGCAAAGCAAGAAATACCAGGGTCTTCATGGTGACGTTTCTTTGAATGTAAGAGAAAAAAACTCTTTATATACACCTGTCCAGCCCTTTATGTTCCCAAATTCATCAAAGTCAGGAAGGTAAAACACAATGTTCTGGGAAAGAGCCATATGGCTGAAGGCTGAAGTGATAAGACCAAGTGATAAATCTCAAGGCCACCTAATGGCAGTTTCCCAGAAATGGCAGTTCTGGGCAAGTTAATCAGGAAATGTAATAAGTTACTTTTTACTCCTTTAAAAAGTAATAACTTTACTTATTACTCGGTCAAACGTTATCAAATGAATTATACTGTATGAAAAGCTTCTCCTTCAGCATCTGAAGGTAGCGGGACATGTTGATAAATCTGCAGCCGTTACACGTGGCCGTTCACTGCATTTACCTTCATTAAATTACCTGAAAATGACACCAGGCTGCTACCGTACAACCATACAGATCTCTTATAATTTGATATTCTGCTTGTTTACGAAGGAGAGGTCAGGTTACCAGGGCGCATCACAGCCTCTTTTCTAACTACGAGACCAGTGATATGACTGGCTGAGAGTATTCAGTTCAGTTTGGGCTGCAGGAACGTTCAATGTGTTCATCAGTAATTCATAGGAAACCTGATAACTTTTCTAAAACTGTAGCAGCTAACAATTGATAAAAAGGGCAACGCAATAGAAAGAGCACCATGTACAGTGGGTACGGAAAGTATTCAGACCCCTTTAAATTTTTCACTCTTTGTTTCATTGCAGCCATTTGCTAAAATCAAAAAAGTTCATTTTATTTCTCAATGTACACTCAGCACCCCATCTTGACAGAATAAAACAGAAATGTAGAAATTTTTGCAAATTTATTAAAAAAGAAAAACTGAAATATCACATGGTCATAAGTATTCAGACCCTTTGCTCAGTATTGAGTAGAAGCACCCTTTTGAGCTAGTACAGCCATGAGTCTTCTTGGGAATGATGCAACAAGTTTTTCACACCTGGATTTGGGGATCCTCTGCCATTCTTCCTTGCAGATCCTCTCCAGTTCCGTCAGGTTGGATGGTGAACGTTGGTGGACAGCCATTTTCAGGTCTCTCCAGAGATGCTCAATTGGGTTTAGGTCAGGGCTCTGGCTGGGCCAGTAAAGAATGGTCACAGAGTTGTTCCGAAGCCACTCCTTTGTTATTTTAGCTGTGTGCTTAGGGTCATTGTCTTGTTGGAAGGTGAACCTTCGGCCCAGTCTGAGGTCCAGAGCACTCTGGAAGAGGTTTTCTTCCAGGATATCTCTGTACTTGGCCGCATTCATCTTTCCTTCAATTGCAACCAGTCGTCCTGTCCCTGCAGCTGAAAAACACCCCCATAGCATGATGCTGCCACCACCATGTTTCACTGTTGGGATTGTATTGGGCAGGTGATGAGCAGTGCCTGGTTTTCTCCACACATACCGCTTAGAATTAACGCCAAAAAGTTCAATCTTGGTCTCATCAGACCAGAGCATCTTATTTCTCATAGTCTGTGCGGGCTATGCGGGCTTTCATATGTCTTGCACTGAGGAGAGGCTTCCGTCGGGCCACTCTGCCATAAAGCCCCGACTGGTGGAGGGCTGCAGTGATAGTTGACTTTGTGGAACTTTCTTCCATCTCCCTACTGCATCTCTGGAGCTCAGCCACAGTGATCTTTGGGTTCTTCTTTACCTCTCTCACCAAGGCTCTTCTTCCACGATTGCTCAGTTTGGCTGGACGGCCAGGTCTAGGAAGAGTTCTGGTCGTCCCAAACTTCTTCCATTTAAGGATTATGGAGGCCACTGTGCTCTTAGGAACCTTGAGTGCTGCAGAAATTCTTTTGTAACCTTGGCCAGATCTGTGCCTTGCCACAATTCTGTCTCTGAGCTCCTTGGGAAGTTCCTTCGACCTCATGATTCTCATTTGCTCTGACATGCACTGTGAGCTGTAAGGTCTTATATAGACAGTGTGCCTTTCCTAATCAAGTCCAATCAGTTTAATGAAACACAGCTGGACTCCAATGAAGGAGTAGAACCATCTCAAGGAGGATCAGAAGAAATGGACAGCATGCGAGTTAAATATGAGTGTCACAGCAAAGGGTCTGAATACTTATGACCATGTGATATTTCAGTTTTTCTTTTTTTAATAAATTTGCAAACATTTCTACATTTCTGTTTTTTTCTGTCAAGATTGCTGAGTGTACATTAATGAGAAATAAAATGAACTTTTTTTATTTTAGCAAATGGCTGCAATGAAACAGAGTGAAAAATTTAAAGGGGTCCGAATACTTTCCGTACCCACTGTATATTCAAACAGGCATCACAAGATTATTGTTGCAGGGAAGAGGACTGACAATATCACATTTCTACAAAAATAAAAATAAATGTATGGTATGGACATTTGTATATGTTAACTTAAGAATCATAAGTGATATTTTAATTAAATTCATATTTACTCATTAATAAAAACATTGGCAAATGGATGGCAAATTTTGAACATTTACAATTTTTATTGAACATAAATTAAAAAAAACAAAATGTAGGTAAAAAAATATTTAACAGGTTTAGAAATTCTTTATACAACTATGTACAGGCAAGGATCCATAGTGAGCCAATAAAGTCACAAAGCTTTGCGAGTCAATTATTAAGCCTGAAAAAAAACAAAACTTCCACAGCATTTAGCCTTCAACCTACACTCCAGTGTCCTACCTACATCCATCAGCTGGGTGTGACTGCACACAGGAAAAATGAGCACAAAAAAAATGGTGGCCACCTATTCTTTCAGAATAATTGCAGGTATAATAGCAAGTCATTGTTTATTAGTATTGATGTTTCTTTTTGCACCAAGAAGAATAAATTATTAGAAAGATTGAACAAGGGGGAAATGAGGAAGTTGTTTTCCACTAATGTGTTGTGTAATAAAATGATTCTTGCTTCATAACAAATTCCTTTGAGGTAGTACACCTGTGAGAGACAAACAGGAGGAAGAGGGTGCAAAACAGCCTCAACAAAAAGAGAACGAAATGATTAACTCACTACAATAGCTTCTGTTCCATTACTTACAAATAGAAAGTTAAAAGCTCAAACACATTTATTTCCATCAGCTTGTTGGATATACATTTATTATTCAAATATACAAAAAGATTTATAGGGTACTGTGCAGAGCAAGATCACTATATTCAGTTTGAACCCTGCACCAAGAAAACTCTCCCTCAGACCTTAAAATTCACAAACAGTACAAAGTAACAAATAGAGAACGGACCGTAATGGCAGAATAAAAGCATTTAGATCACAGCATCTCTGCCGTCACAAATAAAAACGGGAAATTTCAACTGAATGAATGAGGAAAGGGGGGGGGGGGTTGGGGTTTGTCACCTGCACCTAAAATATTGGATTCCCCTCACAAGACTTGTGGTATCCAGACTGAGGTTAAAATGTAGCTACACTACAATGTACACAAGGTGCCTTGAGTCAAATAGGTTTACTGCTAGAGATGGCTGTATCAAAGTAAGGTGCTGAATAAATTCTCCTCACCCTTCTCTGTGACCGTGTATTTACAGCATAACAATAGATCCCCCTTAACTCAGTAATAGCTGCAATCAGGTTGTTTCAGTTTGCACCATCTGTAGCTGGTAATAATTGCCTCCCGGCTGTTGTTTGGCCCCAGTTCCAGCAGAGGCTACTGACAAATTCAACAATGTTAAAATGAAAGAATGTGTTGTATGAGATGGTAAAACAGTACAGTCCAAAAAGAGTGCAGTTTTCCTTAATTGTACTTCCTACTTCAACAGACCAACAATCCCGCAGTCTGAAATCACATAAATAGTATTCATCCTACGCTTCGACATATGGCTCTTATCTGGTTTGTGTGACAGCAGGTCAGAGGAACGAAATGAGCAAACGCATGCTGTCCTCCATCAGTCTTTAATTAAGCTTCCAACATGGTGAAGATTTTCAGGCCACTCTTTTGGCCACGTCACAAAAGTCGCCATAATCAGTTTATCAAAGTCCGCCTCCTAATTTCAAGTGCATTAACCAAGATGGCTATCGGTATGTGGCGTGTGTGTGTTGTACTAGTTTAAGAAGCGACGGCAGCGTCTCGTCGAACAGTTGCAGTGCAGCTTGCTGTTCTCGTCCTCGATGGGGAACTTGTAGTCGTAGGTCAGTTCTTCGCCCCGGTAGATCTTTCTCAGGGCGAAGATGACGATGTGCTTGCGGCCGTCCACGTTGATGACGCGGGAGTAGCAGTTCGGCTCGCACGAGTGGTTGATGAAACGAGCCGCGTTGCCTTGCATCGTTGCGTCCACCACGTCGAAGTCGTCGATGCGGAACATGTAACAGCCAATGCCCTGATGGAGAGTGATTTATCAACCCAGTTAGTTGGGTTTTTTTCACATTTCATGTACATCTTGAAATTATGATCCTTAAGATTTTCATGAAATTAAATCTAGTTTTTGATAACTTGTGGTCGGCATTGTTTCTGCAATAGCCATTTTAAAGTATTTCCATTCTGTAGTTACCCCTCACAATGTTATTCATTGTTTGTGGTGGTGTCTGCAATTTTGCACTAGATTCAAATTACCAACCTACATCCCATTTCATTACTACTGCGGCTTCTAATTAAAAGTAGGGTGCAACTAATCCCGATTAAGTTAACAGCAGACAACTAATCGATTAATTGTTGCAGCGCTACATTAAACAGGAATCAACACGCACGATAATGGAAGCAGAATCTATGACTGTCATTATGATGATGACTTCTAAGTACAACCATTATTTTATTTTGTTTACTTACCTTGCCGTCATAATATTTCTCCCGCTTATCAGTCAGAACAGAGCGAATGACGGTGCCGGCGTACTCGATCACCATCTCGCCAGCCTCGATGTTTCTTTTGCAGAAAAGGCCGCGACCATGAATTTCAGATCTAAGAGAGGATTACAGTTAAATACATTTCAGCACACAAATAATTTGGGACATTAATAAAATCTCATGTTTTTCTTTTTGTTTTTTTGTTGCAATGACCTGTAAACTCCTACTGCTTCTTTGGAAATTTTTTCCAGGTGTCTGAATCTCATTGCCATGGGAAGCTCACTGCTGGTGGCACGCCTGTCAGAGTGAGACACAGAAAAGGTGGCGTCAATATGGAAATGCTCCAGCTAAATTACCATCTATAGAGTTCCTGTTCATTGTGGAGTGCAGTGGGTTTAAACTTTAAGGTTAGGATCAAGAAAGCGCCCCAAAGGTAATCCGCTAACCTGGAAGATTTCAGTGGGAATTCATCCTCCTCCTCATCAAAGGGGCCCACTATGACAGGGAGCTCTCTGTGCTGTGATGCCAGGAAGTTGAACATATCAAAAGTCGCTTTCCTGATTATAGAAAGAAAAGAAAATTAATTTGAGGTGCATTTTAAGTCACAGACAAGAAACAGAAACACATAAACCAAGCCACAACATCTAACTCTTATAACATCATAATAATAAAACCAGTTATGACAAAAAAAGTAACCGTCTGTACCGTGTGTAGACTTCAGTCCGAGCGCAGCCACTTGGATTGAGGGGAAGCTCTTCCTCAATGTCATCACAGCGGTGGAAGCGGAAGCGGTGCCGTTTGCAGTTTGCGGCACCCTGCAGTTGCTCCAGCAGGAAGATGACGGCATCGTGGACGACGCCGAGCACCCGCGGCCCGCCCATCCCGCCCAGAGGCAGCTGCTTCAGATGGAAACCCGCTCGAGCTTCGAGGACGCCATCAATCACCGCACGCCAGGCGACTGAGGGAAGAGAGACGTAAGGAGGGTGTGAGAGCGAAGCTGCAGACATGCTGACAATTTTCTCCTTTTAGTTGCTCTTCTCAAGCATTATGTAGCTCAAACACATCATGCCTGGAAGACTATTCATCAGCATTCTTTACATATTCAGAGCACAGGACAGTAACCAAGCAGCTCTTACCCTCTATGCTGTTAGCTTTAACACTGAAGCCATCATCACTGGTGATTTCAAAACGCAAGTGGGGCTGGTTCATGTATGTCCTCTTTCTGTGTTTGGGTGCAGATGCATCTTCTTCTGAGCTAAAACCTGTAGAATTAAATGAGCCGTAATTGTAAACAAATAATGTAAAAAAATGTCATTTACTGAAAAGCTAGTGTTAAGACAATATTTCAAGATTGTTTCCACATTAAATTATATTAAATTGCTTAAATTATCGGGAAGAGTAGCTGTTAAGAAAAAATACACATTAAATTAGTTGCAAACCTGAATAAGGGCCCCATTCAGAGAGTTCTCCATGGCGAGCACTGACCCACGTGTGTGTTTTACCCTGACTCTGACTGTTGATTTGTGCCCGTGAGGGAGGACTCTCAACCAGAGGAGGCCTGAGCAGAAAGAGCAAACAATTAAGTACAAACATAAATGTGAGTACTATACCACATTTGAGGAAGAAATAATTAACACAATTCAATAATGTATGGGCATGTGCAGAGAACTTATGCATTTTGTTCATCAAGCAATACTACTTGAAAGTTGAAGGAAAGATTAACGTGAGACAACATCCGGTTTCTTCAGACAAACATCCGGTTTTCAGAATAAGATGCCAACAAAGTATGAATTATATTCACATTAAGTATAAAACATGCTACCTGCATCTCGTGAGTTAAAGGGAAAATACACCTAAATTCTTCATAAAGTGTCTTTATTCTTTGATCTCTGGGTCACCACCATCATCTCGGAGTTACAGCATTATATTGATGAACAGTAGAGCTGCATTCACATGCTCTGACTGTCATGAAGACACATGACACACATTTAGAAGAAACGTGCTGAAACATGTTATTCCTGTTGCACAGCAGTGGAACGTTTCACATACAGTCAGCACACTGAGCACAGATATAGTGCAAGAAATATGATCGCTAGTGTGTAAAGGAAATACTGCTGTTAAAAAGCACCCGATTTGTTTAAAGTGTTTGCAAACCAAATGTTATTGCCCCTTTGTTCATATAGCAGTCCTTTTAAAATAAAAGTGTGCAATACACTACTTTTGAATTCATTATTTAACTTTGCCATAACAATGCGATTAATCGCAAAAAATCCATGCGATTAATCGCGATTAAATATTTGAATCGTTGCCCAGCACTATTTTAAACACAATGCTGCTTTAAAATGTCCTTAAATCGCTGTTAATCCAGAATTTCCACCTTTTGAAATTCAAATTGTTTAAAATTCCTGATGCAAATGATTTGCCTCTTTAGAAAGGTAAGAAGGCTCTTAATGAGGGAACCTCTGAGTTGAACTAACCTGGGCGGTGTAGTAGGTGGTAGTGGTGGAGCAGTAATTCTCAACTGCTCAGGCAACATTTTCTCCTGGTCCATATCGAGGACATCCTTCATTGATGGAGCTTTCATCCTCACACCACTCGGTCTGTTGGAAGAAAACAAGAAACATTTAGATGACGTAGTACACCGATTCCTGAGACTTTCACAAAAACAAGAGTGCTGTTGCTATTCTCTTCATTAGGGTTGTCAAAGTGTACGTGCTTACAACAATATATGACAACAGACAGACTTGCTAAGTGAACATACCAAGAATCTTAAAGATGACGGCATGAAAATGGACAGGTGATGTTTTTTAAGGTTTAAAATAATGCAGACAACATAAAAAATATCATGCAGAACATTTAACAACACAGTTTATCACACAATTATCTGTACTTTTATCAATAATGGAAATAGCCAATTGCTGCAGCCTCAATAATAGTTTATCCTAGGTTGTAACCTAAACGTGCATTGCAGCACAAAGTTACTTTTTGGACAACATGCACTTGTGTACTTTGGTATATATTTTTTTTTTTAAATAATCATATTTTTTTCTTGTACATTGCAGTAAAAACAACTAGAGAAGAATCAATTCTTTGAATACCTGGGTTCATTAACTTCATCCAGCTCACTTGATGGATCTCTCAAGAAGTCCATCTTGGATTTCTTCTTGGAGGGCCGCTCAGACACCGATGACACTTTCTTCACTCTCACCTGGTGGCGTGATGAAGCAGGTGTTGGTTGTGTGTTGGTTTGTGTGCTTGGTTTATTGAGGAAACCACTAGGGGGCGCCAAGGGTGCAGCTGGCAACTGATTTGATACCTCTGCAACCTGAAACTGGGACGGCCTTTGAAGTTTGGCCTTTGGTTGCATCATTTTACTGAGGATGATGGGTTTTGTCTTTGGCTCGTCGCGGTGGGTAGCCATGGCTCTGTCAATAATAGCCTGGGCTGTGCCTTCTTGAATGCTGGAGAAAGCTACTTCAGGAACACTCTGCACACTGACAGGAGTTGTGGGAGCTAGAGTTCCAATGCTTTTCACAGGCACGACTCTAAAAACTACTTTTCTCTCGGATGTCGTCGTGTTGTTACCGGCAGAGGGGACGTTTGTGGCGGAGAGGCTGGAACGAGGCTTTATTATAACACGAGGGACTGAGCGCTGCAGCGCATTACCACTGTGGAGAATCTTGGCAATCTGGCTTATTTTGTTGTAGGCAGGAGAGTTTGTACTGAGGGACTGATAAGTGTTTGACCTAGGGTCTTTGATAAGAATCTGACCTTGTCGGTTGACTAGAAGGACCTGAGGGGCAGGAGACGGGGGCGGCGGCGAGCTAGTGGCTGCAGCTTGATTCTGAATCGCAACTTGCTGCTGACTTCCTGTCCTGGAGTTGTCCAAGCGAATGGCGATGGTTCTTCCCTGTGAGGCACCAGGCTGGATAGGTACGTTTAAACCATTGATCACAATGGGGGAGGTAACTGTGCGTGGAACTGGACAAACTGTGGCGGCAGCAGGGGAAGACGATGGAATTTTTACAGTCTGTGAAGGTCGAAGGGGCAACATCAATTTGAGTTTGCGCTGCTGTGGAAGACACGGTTTTGGTGACAAACGCTTGAGATTTGATACCGGACGTTTTGTCTTCACAATGATGCCTTTCAACTGAGTTGTGGGAGATTTTTTGGTTTTACGCTCTGGACTCTGAATACGCTCTGGAGAGTAGTCAGGGTCATTCAAATCATCTTTAAATCCTTCAACGGAGTCGGTCGATGAGCTACTGTCCTCTTTAGCGCCAACTTCGATGACATTTGGGCCCACCACAGTGCCATCTCCAGTAGAAATGAAATGGCCTGTAGCAGAATCTAAAAACACCTCATTTTGAGGTGTTGGTGTTTCAGAGCTCATCAGGACCACTTCCTCCTGAAATGACATATCATCGTTTCCGTAACCTGCTTCAAGAACATCAGATGGTGGGTAACTTTCCTGAACCCCTGGCTCAGCTGACTTTGACACGGTGTAGATGGGCTCCAACCTCTTTAGAGAGACCGTTAGCTGTTTAGTAGGTGTATTATGGTTGCTGTGAATCGTATTCTCTCCATGTTCTCCTTTTGTGTCCTGAGCTTCATCGTCCACCACCTCGCTTTCATCACTCTCTGACCCGCCGTCCGCTCCATCTAACTGTGAGATCGACTGCATTGAAGGGAGCTGTCCTGAGGTTTCTGAGCTGCTAGCTGCGTCGCACACTACTGTGCGCGAAAATTTTAAGTAATGGCTCGAGTCTTCATCTTCGGAATTTTCACGATTATCTACCTGCATTCCCACATCTGGCACTACGCCTTCAACCTCTCCTCTCCCGCCTTGTGCTCCGCAGTGAAGTGTCACGTTCTCCGTGAGCAGAGCCTCGTCAAACTCAAGCTTAGCATCCAGCATGGAAGCCACTGCTACCTCTGTGTCAGTATCAAACACAGTGTAAGGCAGCTCCTGGGCCATCAGGTGAGCTACCTCCTCTTCCAGGTTATCAGGGGCTAGTGAGATCCCATTGGTTGTGGCCACTGCTGCGTCTTCTGCCTCAGATGATGCGAGGAAGTCTTGGGGAACCTCTGCAGAAACTGGAGTGGTAATTTTGAAGTTCTGCCTCCCTCTGGGGGAGTGAGTGATTGCTCCTCTTCGAGGTGACAACCCTGCAGAAATGCTGGAGTTGGATCGAGGCGGGGAGCTCCAGACCGGTGATGCTGAGTTTTGTCGTGACAGAGGAGGCGAGGCTGCACCCAGGTTTGCTGACCTCGGAGGAGAGCTGAACAGGGCACACCTGGAGTGGATGGTGCCACCAGAGCGGAGGGTCATCGGTACAGATGGGTCGCTGTCTGTTGGCGAGGAACTACAGCGGCTTCTTGATGAGAGCCTGCGCGGCCGACGGGTGTCCTCCAGGTCCCTCAATGTCAGGACGTGATGTGATTTGGGAAGAGCTGACCCTGAATCATCAAATAACATTGTAAAGAAGAGGAAACAATGCTAATTTATAGAGTCTACTTCAAAAACAAGATGTGACACATTCAAAACAAAGGGAAAAAAGTTTTTCCAACTTCTTAAACTATTTACCTGGAGATGGAAGAGGTCGGGACGATCCTCCTGCTGGTCTCCTGGTCTGTGTGTAACCAGGACTTTTGGAACCAGGTGTGTTGTGCTGTTTAGAGTTGGGTGATGGAGTAGCGGACTTTATAGGGCTGGATGAAGAACTTAAACGATCTGGGGAATCCATATCTGGCAAAGAAGCAAAGGTGTAACTTTGAAAAACTAACATTTCATGGAAACCAAAAGAACAGTTGGATCAGTTTTAATGAATGATTTAGCTTAATTATTTTAAGGACTAGGAAGCTTTTTAAAGTACTTTTACCAAAACATTTTCTGTGAGTGCCAGCAGTAAGCCAGGCTTTTAATAAAAAAAAAAAAAAAAAAAAAAAAAAAAAAAAAAAAAATGAAAGTTCCTGCTGACCTCTGTTGCGGTTGGGGCTGTGGACTATGGTGTGATTCTCTTCCTTGTCCCATCTCGGATCTTGTTCCTCACCAGGGAGAGGTGTGCTCACTTCTGTCACCTTACAGGTGTACTTGCAACGTCTGCGGGGGTCCACAGTGCTCCAGTACAACCGAGAACATCTGGAAAAGGAAGGGAGGAAGAATGCGTTCATGTAAATAAACAAAAGGAGTAATAATTATGCTACATTCAGCACAAAAGTTCCAAAAAGTATTTGGGTTTTTCTAACAAACATACTAAGAGATAAGGCTACCAGTTGTATAATGACAATGAGCACTTACTGATAACCAACAGGATACAGCATCCTCCCATTTGAAGACAGCTCAGACAACACACCAAGTTTTTGAATCTGCAGAGAACCTGGAAAAATGAGAAAGGAAAGACAACACGTTACAGCAGATTAAAGGCAGTCTGATTAGTAGTAACATTGCATCCCTGTATGGAGCCATGATATTCTTACCTATGGTCATGTTTATGGAATCTGGGTCAAGGCCTGTGAGGAACTTTCTTCTAAGATTGATCCCATCAAAGTCCACATATACCCGTCGAGGCACTTCAAACCCTCTCCCAGACACCATCTAGTATGATAAGGTAGTAGAGTTTGGTAAAACAAAAACCAATACAATGTAGAGAAAATCAGCAGGTGTGAGGTGTGCGTGGGTAAACGGATGGAGTAATGCTTTCCCTTCTGGTAAAAATGTTAATATGCAACTATAAAACAAATAAAAGATAAGTTGTATAGCGTTTATACCTTCGCACTGACAAGATCCCTGTGATTGAAGCAGTACACCTTCCTGTCCAGCTGAAACACACAGTTCTGGGCACGAGCGCACATGAAGTGGAAATTACTCTGGCAGGTGGAAAGACAGCAGCCCACAGTGGCCCCCGACTGCCCACAACGATCACAACGCTGCAGAATGAAGGACACAAATAATGTTACTTACTATACACAATACCGCCCACACAGGTAGTTCACAGAGTTACGGAACTTGTGTCAATCCTTCAACACTTGACAAATACATATCTAGCTACAAAACAACTTATATTTTATTTCCTGGTAATATCTTACCAGGTGGCGCCCTCTTGAGACAGCGCTGTGCACTTGCAAAAGAGCACTATTCTCTTCATACACCTCTGCAGACCACAGGCAGCAGTTAATGTGGGCCCACTCATTCTGCCCCAAGTACAACAGCCGTCCTGCATCCTATCAGGAGGAAAACACATTCACATCACTTAATAAGCAGTAGAGTAGCCACTTTTTAATAGTGTAAGATGACATGCAGAACATTTAGAAACTACTCAGAACAGTTGTAATGTACAGTCCCTGAAAACATGATGCATCCTGTTTGTGTTCAAGTAGTTTTTATGAGAATTCGCGAATGGAGCTTGAAACATTGGTTGAATATCTTTGGGTTTTGAAGTCACCTTGGACTGTAGTTGTTGTGTTTGTTTTCTTTTCTTTTCTACTTCTTTCTAATGTGTTATAGACCAATTGATTAATCAAGAAAACAATCTGCAGATTCATGGATGCATTAGTTGCAGCCCTTGTAGTAAAAACAGTCAAACTCACCTTTGGAGCATAGTCTCCATTTTGTTGACACAGGGCACACTGCCTCATATCTTCAGTCTTGGTTGTTTTCACATCACTCTTCACACCTGAAGAAAGAAAGAGGACCAAATCAACAAATGCATACGTTTTAATCCCGAGAACGCCAAAATGCGTTAAATAAGAGACGTACCCATGCGGCATTCGAGAGCTACAATAACCGATACCTGTCATCTGTTTGATTTGATAACTTAGAATATCAGTAATCTTACAATCTTACATCTCACACATTCATATACCTATGGTGGCAGAGCTCCCATTAAAAGGCGCTGCCAATCAAAGGCCACAAAAACATTGGAAAAAATTACAAGTATTATTAGCCGAATAAATACTAAATAGCACATCATTTTTGCATTTGCAAATGTGAAACCTGTAAAGATATGATCCTTCCCTACTAACAATGAACAGCAGTTGGGTGTCCAAAGGTTCTGACAAAGATCACATCCGTCAGCAGAAATGATACAGAACAGGCTACAATAGTTTCCATACCACGTGAATGCAGAGGGTGGCCGTGCGGTACATCAGACTGCTGTGTAGTGACTGAGGACAGCACCGAGTCAGTTTTCCCCGCCTGTTGGCCCCGAGTGTCTTTGGGCTGGTATGTCCTTTCCAGCCACTGTGCATAGCTGTGCTCCTTAGATGGTGGGAGGACCGCCTCAGGGAGCATGCCACTACAGAGTGAAGGATAAGGACCGTAAGACAGCAGACAGGGGCAGAAAGGACATTTGAGACAACTGCGCCATGAGTGACACTTTTACGGCCTTTCATTTTTTATTTGACTAAACACATGCCTAAAGCTTCTATAATGAAAAGCTAAAATATACATGAGGGAATAATTAATGTGTAGATATTGAGAGGAATAATGTTTGGTTTACTGCACATGGTAATTACCTTGGGAATTCATGGGAGAATGTGTTCCCCTTTTTCAGAAAGCTTGCAGGAAACCAACTGAACACCTGCTCAATCCGCTGCAAGAAAAAGAAAATTTAAGTAAGATCAAAGGTAAAATCATGGTGAATAATGGTGTCTATATGGACAACATTTTTAATATTTGTTTAATGACTCAGCTCCACATTCCAGCTGGTCAAATAAGACAAAGATAACCATGAAAACACTTAAACCGTGGAAGATTTGGAAGGGAAGCTTACTTTGACATAGCGTGCCCTGGCCTGACTGGTCGGTCTCTGGTCCTCAGGGAGAAGCTCCTCCTCCTTCGACCACTTCCTCATCACAGAGGACACATCAGCATGGAAAGCTTTCTGAGGAAGCAAGAAGGAAAAAGAGGAGGTCAGGGATTCAATCACAAGCATCTCGCAAGAGTGGGTTTCAGAAAAAGAATGACATAACTGATTTCATTACCATTTGTATTGATTTCTTTCAGCTGAGTGTGGCAACATTTGCTGTATTGTATCTATTACTGTCTGCGTTGGTACATACACAAGAATAAAAACAGGAAGAGCTGTTCTTAGTGGATTATCAGGACGAATATACTTACTATTGAGGTGTAACCACCCCCTTTAAACTTCTTCTCCATTGCCTGTAGATCACACACTGGTTGCTGTTCACTGACAAATTGTGTGTGGTTTGGTTCCCGACACTGAAACAGAAAAATAACGGTTTAAATAAGATGACTAATCCTGGTATCTGGTAGAGATGACCAAAAACAACAATACAGAAAACTCATAATTTTAAAATAAACACATTAGGATGACTTGAAGGGAAGGTAAATGCTTTTAAACAGTATGCTTCTTTTTTGTTTATTACTCTCAAATATAAGGATCTTTGGACAGTATTTGTCAAAGTCCCATGGGTAAGCTCTTACCACTTTACACGTAAGGAGGTGCTGTGTGGTGTCGTCAGAGAGGAGGTCAGTGAGTAACTCCTTCAGCCCGGCTATCAGCCTGCTCTGCAACTCCTTCTTCAAGCTGCTGTGTTCAGTTTGGTGCTCGCTGCAGGGTGAGCAGGTGAAACACACGTCCACTGGTTGGCTTGACAGCAACCCATACAGCTCATCTGTAATGACAGACAGACACAGTTTAAATCACCATATTGTTGATTAAGATTAGATCTGAAGTATTATTACAGTCTACATAATACTATATGCCCCTCTTTAAGTAATCAAGATGTAGCTGAAATTTAATCATGTGCCATTGTATTCTTTTACATGTAACAACGGATGTTTCATTGGGCAACATTTGATTCATTCTCTTATTAGAAATCATCTTATTCTTCCACATACAGAAACTTAAGATGGTGTTAATCCAGGGATTTATTAGTGTTTGGGTGGAATGAAAACTCTGGATCACTTTGGAATTTCATTCATGACTAAACAGAGTGTTACTCACCTGAAAGTCCTTCACATGTGTAATGAATCCAGTGGCTGCACTTCGAACACTGAATCATCTGTGTGTGTTGGTTGTTGTCGTCGTAGCATTTGTGGCAGACTGTGCAGAAATTACCTGATGTAGATACAGATTTTATATCGGTCACATCATCCATTTCTAGTGCCGGACATTTTAACTATGCATACAAATCCAGGTCATCCATCCAAACAACATTGGACTGGTTTGGTTAAAGGGTACTTTGCAGCATTGTTGGTTGTCGTTTGTAAACACACATATTCAAAGTTGGCTCGCTAAATGGTTGCTTGTGCCTTGGTATCAGACGCCGAGGGGCGTGACAAAGCAGCAGTATTTGACCTGGGAATGAGAACGAGCTGCACACCCTGCTTATTGGCTGGGGTATATACCCACACATGGGGCCCAAAGGCTCTTTGACGATGCCCAGAAACATCCCAAACACAGCAAAGAGATTCATAACTGATGATTGAGATTGATAAATTTATTATTAGTCGATACAGTATTTTTCAGGAAATTGTATCATTTTATACCTTTAACTTAGTCAGGGAGGATTCTGAACAATGTATTTACTGGGTATTCAAAAAGAAGACTAAACGGCCTCTAAAAAACACTGAAGTCTTACCTTTTTTGTGGAGTGAAGTGCAGTCAGGACAAAGATCCTGCTCGTGGTTCCAGGTCAAGTCCCAAGTCTTTCCAGGAGTTACGCCGCAGCTTTTACACCGAATGCATGTCATGCACACCTGCACAATGTCACAAAACATTTTTTTCTAGGATTTATCACTCGATATCCTTAGGATGTGGCAAAACAAAAACATGTATGGCTATTAAAGCAAATACCCAGGGCATGTTGCAGTTCATAGGCTTAGGGTAAGTTGGTCCCAAGCAGGAAGGGTGGTATGAGGTTTGGCATCTCCGACACTGTAACACTGGCTAGAGAGGAAAAAGTACATCAGTTATGAGTTAATTAATGGTGTAAATATTTGACAAGCACCTCATCAGAATGCGATCGCTCTCTCAAATTTGCAAACATGCTACAAACAAGAAATTCTATATTGCAAAATGTAACAAATGAATTGCCAGTTTTGATCCTTTGCAATTACATTAAATATTTTCTATTATGTACATTACAAGCGTGTTTGTGAATGTAACCTAATTTAAAAAGATAGGTTCACAACTTTTCAAGTCAGCAAGTGATCCCAGTTTCAAAGTATACATGGGAACACGACTATTGCATTAAGATAGTCTTGAGAACATATCCTTTAACACATTTAGGAGAATTCTTTAGTTTTACATCATACTGTAAGTGATGCTGGGTTGCATACCTTTGTGCTCTTGCTTCGGCGGCCACACACGTGACAGAATTTGCAGCGTCTGCAGTACCAGTTCTCCTTGTTCTCCTTCTGGGGGCGTTCATCTGGTGAGAGGCAGAAACTGTGGAAAGGCTCACAGCAGATCTGGCAGAATATCATCTGATGGAAGTGTGAAACAAAAGTTATTATTGGCCCTGCAGAGCACCACAACACAAACTTAACCAAACATGGGCGTGGAGATAATTATATAATATTAGCAACAGAAACACTATTCGAGCTCTGGTAAAGAATTACCTCATGGCGTCCTTTACTGGCGCACAGCAGACAGACAGGTTGTGGTGTCGTAGGGACAGATGTGAGTACGCTGAGGCCGCCCATTAGCCATACGTTCTGGACAGCACAGTCCTCCTGGTAAACACAAGGAAAGAAAAAGAAAGTAAGATTCGGATGATGCATGAGCTCAGTAACTTGTCTCAACCATCTAAAAAATAAGCAGCTTCACAATGATCCCGTAACAACTACTAGTTACATTGCTGGTCCTCAACTGTCACAATAATAAACATGCAGTTTGCTCAAGTCATTATTTCTAACACTAGGATGAATGCAGTTTATTTAAAAATATATAAATGCCACCCAACACAAGAGAAAAACCTCACCTTGAAGTCTACACGAATCTTGAACTTGTTCTGCAACAGGCCCTTTTGGGGAAACCCATTAGTTAACCCAGTCAGGGTGTTCACTGACGCACACTCTGCAGGATTCTGGGAACGAAGGACATAGTGTTTGTCAGTGGAGAGACCGTTTTTCAGCACCGTCTCTTTTACAGAACCGTCCTCCTCTTCAGGCCGATCGCCCCGTCTGTCCTTCTGCTCCTCTTGCGCGCCCTCCTGTAACTCTGTGTGTGGATCGACTGTCTGAGGGTGCACTTGTACAGTTTTATCTTTGTTAGCTCTACGCGTCTCAGTCAAAACATCTGGGTCCTGCACCTCAGACTCCGGATGTTCCTGAAAACACAACTTGGCCGAAGCCTCTGTCAGAGCTGAGTGCAGTATGGACTGGGGATGCAGTTGAGATGGTGACGATATACATTTGTGCAAATGCAAGGCTGAATGCACCAAGACCTGGGGCAAACGGTGCAAACGTAACAGCAGAGATTTATGTGTAGAGTCTGTTATAGTATGCGGTGAAAGTGGAGAATCGGGAGGCGTTACAGGCTGGGACAGTTCTGGAGGACACTGGGGTGTGGAATGGGATGAATGTGAAATGGCAGGCTGCGTTAAAAGCTGGGACAGTATTTGATGAGACTGAGAAGCACATTGATCCGGACTTTGGGGACTCTGTTTTGGCAAAGACAGAGCAGACTGCACGATAAAATCAGGCAGACGGTGTAAGTGTATTTGGAGCTGCTGCTGCAGCTTCGGCATTGGGCTTCTGGGTGGGCTGGTTTCTGGTAAAGTTTCTCTGGGCTCCGTCTCCTCCGTGTTCTCCTGTTCCTGTGGAGGAGGGGACTGCCTAAGCCAACCAGCACGACAGGTAGCAAAGTGACACGAATACTAGTGACATGCAGAGACGGCGACCGGCAGCAGCCAAAGTGACAGAAAAGGAGAGCTAGCTATGGCTTTGAGAATGTTAGCCAGGAATAAGAGGTAAGAGAAGGTAAAGAAGATGCCTTAAGCTAAGCAGAGACACACATTAAGTAAGGTGTTTAAAGACCGCTAGATAAAACACAAAACTAAACAACTAGCACATCATTTTGCTAACATTTAGTATATAAATGTCTATATACTATAAACACTCACAAATAATTTGTCATGTTAAGTGTCATTCAAAAAGGCTGACATCTCTGATGTATAAGCTGAACAATGAAAATAGACAGATAACATGACAAATCAACCGCCTTGATGTGAAAGACATTTTCAAAAATGATAGATTTACACTTCCCTATCACTACACCTGGAACTGCAGGTTTGAGGTTGATAAAGTGTAGAAACGTTCTCTCAGTTTGTTCATTTTAGAAGGTTTGTATATTTTCCCTGTGGAATGTGTAGTTTGATGCCGCATTACATGCAAGACTGCTAGAAAAAGAATATGGTGGAATACTAATATATAAGGCTCAGGCGTGATTACATTCATGCATTTACTCCAATTAGATATATGCATTTGTATTGTAAACGAGCATTTCCTGAAGAGTGGGTCTCCACCAATAACCCGCAATTCTTTTCTTCTTTTGCACCCACCAACATACTGTCCACAACCATGTGGGACTACAGATGAACCATAGCCTCTTGGCTAACTCTGGCGCATTTACAGCAATGTTTTTATTAATGTGCACTGTCCCATATTAAATAAACCAATAAATAAATAAAATAAAATAAAATAAAAAAAGTCAACCAGGGACAAATCTGCTTCAAACAAAAGCCCATAAATTAGGTGAAACCAGGAAAAGCCACTTGTTGCTTTGGTTACAATGCCACTTATATAGACCACATGGAAAATTTTGTGTATTTGCTTCCTTTTTATTCTCTTCTTCAAAATATGGTGGCTTCCTTGTTGCTGATGTGTGAAGGAGGAGCAAGATGGAGTTATCGGCTTGTGGCAACACAAACCAATGAGTCAATAGTCAATGAGGAGCAGCAGACAGTCGCCATGACGTTTCTAAATTTAAGATGTACGCACAGGTTGTTTTTGTGTATGCATGGGTACATGTCATGATAACTTGACAAAACCAGAAATCATCACCAATTCACAAGCAACAAACACAGATGGAGATAAATTCAACACTTGGAAGCAATGTCGGTGCATAAATATAGGGGAATTTCTTATTAAGAACGTCAAGGATTCAAGTAATGCAGATATAAAAAGGTAAAAATTAAAATTAAAAAAAAGACAGAGCTTTGACAGTGGATAAGCAAACAGTTTGTAATTGGCGAGTATGCTTGATTGGATAGGCAGTGATTACAGGCCAACTAGAACAAGCAGAAGCAAAGAGTCAAGGAGCACAGCCAAGATTTAAGTTTCATCTTAGCTAACAGCCGTTCAACATTGACATTAGTGGTGTTAGAAAGCAATGGTAGATTTTACTGATCACTTATACTGTGTGAGAACCAATCAAAAATATACCCGTTACCAAAAGGCTTGTACTATCATTGTTAGTTAAGTTTTCAAATCATTAGGTTTGTCAAAGTGGAATTAAACACATGTTCTCGGATTTTGTTCTCGTGATGCAAAGTCCCGGGCATAAACCCTTTTGTAAACCATGTGTGTGCATAATGCTGTGCTGTAGATGTATGACCACAGAGGAAAATATAAATCTCATGTGGGCTAAATATTTAAGTAAAAATGCTTATCTAAAGGATTGGCTGCAATCTACAACCACTAACTGGCACTAAATGCCAGACACTAGTCCTTTAAACATGACACGAGTAGTTCTACCTTCCAGTTTAGATGTAAATTACATTTCAAGTCCTAGGTCTGGATAGACCAGCACTGCGTTTTATCATGAACACATCTGTAATTCATAGAAACAGGAGGTCAAGCACATGCAAGGTGGTTAATATGAAGGAAAAATCAAAAAGTCAGAAACAGAAGTTTAGCAAGGGTGAATTTGAATGATTTGACTCACTCATTCCAACAAAGATGATCAAATTAAAATGTGAAAAACACAGAGTGAGACACAGACCTGGGCAAAGTGTTACTTGGGGATATTTGGGTTGTCAAAATCATGATTTAAGTTAATCACTTAATTTAAACTGACAAATTTAATTGGAGAAATATACCATTTCAACAATGATTTTTTTTTTATCATCTCATTTTTTAAACGTCACCTTTCTGGAACTTCAAAAGACGCAAAAAACATTTTATAAAAGTACAATTTGACCCAGGTTTGATCAGGTGAAACACTGGAAGAGAGGAGGTAAATCTGCTGGATGTTTTTACCTTGTAAGCTCTGGGTCTGCTCCCTGCTCCCCTGGAGAACGGCCGGCGAGGCTTCACCGCCTCAGCTGGAGGGTTGTCTGGCAGCGATCCGCCATCTTGAGGAGCGAGATCTCCAATAGGAGAAAAATAGATCTAAGACAAAATTCGGATTCTATTGTGCGGATGCAACTTCTCAAAATGTTTTTTTAGAGAAGTGCTATTGCGAGAGTTTAAGGGCCTTGAGTGGGAGAGTTTGAGGGGGCTTCACCTGTTAAAATGTTTAAGTTCATCAAGTTTTCATTACGTCACATTTCCTTTGTGAACCTTACCAATGGTATCTATGTGTAGTTTTTTGGAAATTGTACGTTGGTTACCTTTTAACACTCCACATCCTGCAGTGTACGTAATGCAATACTTATATAACACAATCATGACAGTCTTGTAGCCCCGAAATCTTTCATTATATTATCTAAAGAGAAAATGGTGCTACTGTTGCCTGATCTTTATAACTGTTACCTGTTCCACGTCTGAAATATAAAAGTTATGATCATTTGTGATACGATAGCTGCAACAAATCTCTGAATGTCATAGATCTTCAAGCCACTATCTGCAAAACCAATACAGTGACAAGAAAAGACACACCGAGAGGTTTGTGGCACAAAAACAAAGCTTTAGTTACCTTGTTTGCTAGCTGCAGCAACAGTTGGCTTGACTGGCGACTTATGTGCCTTATCTTCTTCTTCTTCCTCAGATTCAGACTTGAGCAGGCTGCTGTAGGAGCGCGGTGTGATGTTACGCAGGGACTGTTTCCTGACTCCAGGCAGCATGGAGGGCGATCCCCCGTCTGCACCTTCAAACCACCAGTTCGCATCTTCGCTGCCTGACAGCGAGCCCGCAAAACGCCTCGCCTGGACTGAGAAAGGGGAGCCCCACAATAACATTTTGTAAACAGACTAGATATTTAGATACAGTATGTTTTTAAATTTGTTTTAGAGAATTAATTACAGCACATGAGTTTTAAAGAGACACAAATCACTCTGGGAGAAAAACGAGAGCATCCTCTAATAATTAGAGACATACGCTTCAATGGTTTGATGACGCGACCAGCCCTCGCCTTCTCAATCCGGTCACACTTCCTATATCTGGGGGGGGGGGGACAAGAAACAGTCAAATGTCACTATAATATTTATTTAAAGTAAAAAAGACATCGATGAGTGTGCTTAACTATAAGAATCAACTTGCCTTCATAAATTGGATTGTTTAATGTGTTTTACTAGAGAGAAATAAAAGGTATTTTCGTGTTTTATGTACAAAAATGCTTAACCTAGAAGGGGAACAGTATTTTAAGGACCACTTATGAAACATTTTAGAACTCAACAAGCACTCTAAGCTTTGTCAGTCCAAAATGATTGATAGTTTTTCCGAAATGCTTACCTTCTTTCTTTATAACATCAGAGAACAATATTCGCCCTTTACTGGTTTGTGTGGCCATTGTTTAAAGTTAAGGTATTCGCAATGTAAACATGAGTGACAGGTTACATTGTTCAGCATTGAAACATTTCTTCACTTGACCAGACGTCTGCTCGCCCAAAGTTTATTTTAAATAACAAAGTAAGTGCAACTTGAAATCTTCATATTTGAATAGTTGATGTATTCATGCGGTCAGCTCTTGTCTTCTGTGCCACTGCCTTTAAAACATTTGCTTAAGTTTCATCAAAAGCTCACTAGTGGCGTGTGAGAAATGCCCACACAAGACAGACATTTTGCACAGAAAAATATGCCTATTCACCAGTATGCTCCATAAACTCAAACAGAATTTGTGATTAGTTTAACTTACATGCAACACTGACGCTTGGTGTTGGGGCCCCCGAATTTGGGCTTATCACGGCAGTTGGTACACTTTGCACAGTCGTTCTCTATCAAACAGCCTTTGCAGCCTCCACAGCGCCGGGCACGGATTCCCCCGGGTGCATATGTACTCAGGGTCTTCCTCTTTCTGAACCTGAGGCCCTTCCCCCTCCCCCTCTTCCTCCTTCGCTGGATTTGTTCCTGAGAGACAACCCACTGAGTCCTGCCCTGATCGGAGACGTCATCTTCATCATCATCTGCCACATCTGCAAGCGAGAGACAGAGAGGATGAGTAAAAGAGCCACAATATCCATTTCAATCACAATTAAAGTACATGTGATGTGGGGGAGACATCTGTGGACGACAAAAACTTACTATTCAGTCTGCAGGATACATTACAGGTCTAACTGCTGTGATTGAAGGTGCAAATAAACTCATTTACTGGTCTTTTGTCTGGTTTCTACAGCTACAAGTAACTACTGGCTGCCTGAAGTGTTAAGAAATAAGAAAAAGTCACTCTAGAACAAAGTTAAGGGAGTGGACGAACACATCAGGAGTCTCTGACAAATCCATTGTTGCCTGGTGTAAATCCCACTACCTGACATTTTAGAGTTGAAGACTACTAGAAATAGATTTGAAACTAAATTTCTTTGACAACCGGACAACCACCAAGTTGTAGTATTTTAATGCCAGCTGGCACAGAAATACATTACTGTCATAATTTTAAATGAATAATGTAGGTGGAATAACATTGTGTAAGGATCCGTGTTTCCCAAAAGCACTAGATGTGTTCATTTGGAGACATAATTCAGGGCAGTGAGACTACTTGTCAAACGGCACTTCCTCACCTCATACTGAGTGATGCTCACTCGACCAGTGTTGGGTAAAGCTTTCCAACAGCGGTGGCTAATCTGTGTGTGACAAAAGATATTTTTGCTGGCAAATATCTTGGTTACAACTACATTGAGCTAATAAAGCAGTTTTTATGTTTTGCACTCAGCAGGTTACATTTGCCAAAAGCTATTCAAAATTGTGCTCTTTTACAAAATAATCTTTTTTTGGTTTATGTTTTTTATTAATGCAAAAGCTTAACTATGCCAGTTTGAAATATTTTAGATGGTGAATGATTTGATAACAATACATTAGCAGAGCAGCTTTGCCAAAGAAAAACTGGCAGAAATACTAATGAAGCATTCAGGAGCAATTGGATTGAAAAATGGATAACCTACCTGAGAGCATGGCCATATACAGTATCAATCTGAATGATGTGGTAATCCTGACTACTTCAGGGTCCCACAAACTCCAACTGCACCGTAGCAACAATTGATGCTGCACACTTTGCAATACGCTGTAAGCTTCTGAATTTGTCTTTGAAGGATTCAGAAACTTACATTTAAATTGAAGAGATTTTAAGATCTTTTTAATACCACATAGAATGCAACTTAATAAAAGTATGATGGAGAACCAGTAGGGACGATATGGCCTTAAAATATATATAATTACGCCCCTTTTTTTTTTTTTTTACACATCTCACAGTAGTATATAACAATCAATTATAATGATATAATTATTAGAATCAATGCAGATCTGAATATGCGTCGTAAAACAAATTAAACAATAAAAAAAAATAATGAATTAAGTTAAAAGGTTTTCGTTAAAAACAGCACTTGACCATAATGAGTTGATGAGCTGTGACAGTGTTTGCTACAGGTCAGATGGTGCTGAATGACAAGGATTGAACCGCTTTCTGCATGCACAATCCACTGTCCTACCATTCCTACCTTTAGATTAGAAGTGTGCAACAGCCCGCAATTAGATACGAAAACATTTTTATAACAAACATCACTGCCTACAGCAGGCAACAAAAACTTTAGTACTTCCTAAATCCTTTGTTTCATGAGAAAACTGAATTCAATGCTTAAAGACTTTTCAAGGCGTGCTATTACTAAATTGAGAGCTCGAGGTCTCTCCTTTGTGTTCTGTGTCAGGATCTGGACATTTCAACGAGATCTTAACAAGGGAAAATGAGTTTGATCCTGAATAAACCCTTCAGCATATCAGTTAACAACTTAAATATATTTTCTTCATGTCATCATAAACCATGATTGCACTGGTGTAAAACTCCCTTGTTTATTAAAGCTCCATTAAAATGTATATATACACAGTGCAATGCAAAATGCACTGCTGTGCTGATCTTCCTCTTGTACAGCTACAGAGAAGTTAATTTCTGCATTCTGCTTAAAAGAAACACGCGTGGCTGCACTGTACCTTCTGCTGCGGGAGAAAAAGTGATGCCCTCTCTCTCGTGTAGTGGCAGGGCGCTGAGTCTGGGGATATCATCTGGCACCATGGCACGGGGCTGCCCCAACGCCACTGCTGCTGCCCGACACACATGTTTGATCCTCGGACCCCCAAGCAGCTGCTCCTGCACAACAAACAAAACATAAAAACTAACTGAAATGCAGAAATATCTGGCTTTAAACAAATGATGGTAACATCACTTGTGAGATATACAAGCGCCCTCTAAAGATCTAGTCTAACATTACACAAACAGTATGATACTAGGGCTGGGCGATATGGCCAAAATCCACCATCACAATATCGGTTATTTCATATCTTAAATCAATAAATAAAAGTCTATATGAAATAACCACATAGTAAAGCCTATTTTTATAAACTCATGTGTGAACTTATTACCTGACAAATGAAAAGTATTGAGTATTTTTATTTTATTTGTTTTTTCATGACCATCTGCACACAAACAAACAAAACAGGCAGAGTGTTAGAGGGGATCCTCCTTAGCACGTAATAAATGATCGGGATCCAAACCACGGGCGACTACAACTTCAGAGGACTGATGCTGCTTCAAACACAGAAAAGAAAACATAAAAATGCACTTTTTTTTTTAAGTTGAAAGTATTACCTGAGGACTGATATCTTTGGGAGTTACACCAACTCTCCGCCTCCTTCTTCCGCTCACTGGCACTCGTGATTCTCTGGAGCCCAACTACCGGACCAGACAAGGAAGAAAAACAAGATTTTATGTAAAAGATGCTACAACATCATTATGTTACTGCACCTTCTGTAATAAAAATCCATGTTACTTTCAATCTGACTTGTAAAGTTCAGACTAAAATAAGATGGCTAAACAAATGTTACATGTACAATCCTCCTTTCATTTGCTCTGTGGATGTAGTGAGTCATTACCAGCAGGCATTCACTGATGCTGATAGGGGCCGGTATTGACTCAAATAGCTGGATCGGGTATTTGTGAAAATGGGGCCAATCTATATAATTTCCACCATAGAGTTTATAGTGACCATCTATGTGTAGTCGTATGTACCTGCCTGAGGAACAATTATTTAATCATCTTTCTTTTCAAAAAAAATCTTCTTTTATACTTGTGCACAGATTGGATTCTTACCTGTGACAACTTGAGCTGCTTCTGCTGATCAATCTTGATGAGCTGGACTTTGGCTTTCTTCAGCAGGTGGAGCATCGTCTTATTGGCTCCACTGAGACCAATTCGATGGCTGGGCCCGCTGACTTCTAATGCCTCATGGCAGTCTGCAGCCACGCCTCCTGCTTCATCTGTATTACACAGTGGGAATAATGTGTGAATAGTGTGATGTGCAAACAAACGCTAAACCATCTATTGAAAACACACCTATACACTAAACAGAGAAATAACCACTTCAATTTGTTTATCTCTTTGCAATTTCCAAGACATTCAACATTTTAATTGAGTTCTTTAGCCTAGAGATTTGCATTCTCTAGTAGGTCTTTCTTCTAATTTGACCTGTCTAATAAAGCTACATCTTAAAAATTGGATAAAAAAAAAAAAAAAAAAATCAACCACAGGTATAAGTCTCTGCTGACTATTTTTTCTCAATTGAACATGAATTCAACTGTGTAGTTCCATTGATATTAAAAACATCTCACTAATCTAAGAGAAATTTTGTTAATTTTCAATTCCAGGAAGCACATTTTAGAGCATCTGTAAAAACAATATCTTCATAAACAATAACACAAAAAGAAGAAAGTATTCTTACTATTGCTGCCTGTATCTCCCAACGGCAAATGTGCTTTCACATCAGCGTTCACCGACACGGCTAGTTTCCTCACAACACCGGGAGAGTTCATCTCCTCCATCGTGATCTTTGACCGCCGTCTCTTCCTGACATGAGAGGTCAAACCGTCGCCATGTGTATGATCCCCCTCTGTGTTGGAGTGGCCTTTCTTCTTCTCTGCCAGTTTCAAGGTTAGTTTTTTGAGGTTCTTGTAGATCTCTAGGTGGCTCGTTCCTGGTTTGGGCTTTGATGAGAACTTTGTCACTGCAGATGGGCTCTCAGCCACAGATATTAATTCACTGTCCGACAGCAGCAAGTCGCTACCATAGCTTGACTCGTGACGTGATGGACTTGGTTTTCCATCCTCTCTCTGTTGACTTTTCAGCCATGTTGACAGAGGCCCCTTTGGAAAGGAAATAATTCCCTCGTCCAAGAACCTCTTTGGAGTTTTAATAACGCGCGAGGACCGTGCGCTCATTACAGGAGTGGATGAGTTCTTCTCGACTTGTTTAGGAAACGAGCTCAGCTCACCCTCAGATGAAGTGATATTCTGCTTTTGCTGCTGGCTCTCATCCAGCGTCGGTGTCATCGGAATGGGCTCTGTCACATAAGTGTAAAAAACACGCCTAATGCGATTGGGACCCATTTTTGGACGCCTTAAATCTGGAACGTTTTTTAGTTGCTTTCGCTTGTGACCAAACACAGACCTGCGTCTTCTGCGTTTTCTTCTTTCAGAGGAATCTGTGGCTTTGCACTCAAGGGGCATCGCTGCCTCCTCTCCACTCTGGGCACCGGCCTCAGCTCCAGCCTCTGGAGAAGCACCCATACCCTTAGCTATTCTCTTCCTCTGCCTTTTGTGAAAGGACGTAATTGATAGAGCGACTGCTTGCGATGTGCGTCTGGTGTGCCTAATTCGAAATCCCCTCATGCTTCTCAAAGATCTCTGTAGCTGGGGTTGGTCTGTGTCCGAGTCCTCTGACACCTCGCCTCGTTCTCTGACCTTAGAGGCTCTCTTGGTGTCACCAGCTGAGGTAGCGGCTGTTTGGTTTTGCCTACCGCCTGAGTGTGCTGATTTTCCTGCTTTCCTGAGAAAGTCAGCTGATCTTGTACTGCTCCGTCTCCCTGAGGCCTGCTCGCCTGAATGTTTGGCTTTTGCAGTGAGAGCTACCTGCTTGCCATGCAGTTTAATTACCACCCTGGGTATTTCTTTGTCTTTTTCTGGGCTCTCTTGGACACCCTGGCCTTCTTTAGAGACCCGTGGTACAATTTTCCCAATAAGAGATGGTTTTGTGGTCTTGGGTGTAATATTTCCAATGAGAGGCTTTGCTGACAGAGAACAGCCTGAAGCTTGGGGAGGCTTTGCTTGGCTGAGTAACGAAGCCTGAGGAGCTTTCTGAGGACCAACTGTTGAGGTCCCAAATCCAGTGAAAACTTCCTCCTGAAAAAAAACACAAAATATATCCTTTGATTGGCAAAAATGAAGACTGGATGGTCTACCCTACCACATATTTAAAAAATTTAATTAAATCTAGAGTTTGTGTTTTTCACAAATAAATATTTAAGGACAAAAAAATATATCACCTAATATGCATCACCTAATATGCATCTTTACGTATTTATTGGGGCCAAAAGTACTGAAATTACTTATAACCTTGTTTGTTAGCTTTGCGATAATTACAGAACCATAGTGTTGTTTACTTTTTAAGAAGATATCCATCTCTTTCAGGTGGGGTGGTCGTCCAATACGAGCAGAATTTGAGAGCCCCTGAATCCTGAATGGTTGGTCATTCTGGTTAATTATACCACGTTCTAATACCGTCTTATATCGGTTAACATGTAGGAAAAAAAGTTAAAATCGAAAGGGGTGGGGTCCGACAATAATTGATTTCTGATGGAATGATGCTTTCGTACTTTCTCACCCACTTCTGAGTCATATCTTGTTTATCAGGCATTAGCCCTTCTGACAATACAGTTCAGCATCAGCACGGCTCTAAACCCTTACTCCAGAGTTGCATCACAACAGTGCTGAATTATCTCACTGTGCACCTCGGCACGTGTCTCACTGTTAGTGAGATATGCAACAATATTTTCACTGACATAAATCAAGAGTAGCACTCAAGCTATAGTGGAATAAAAAACAGTGCATATTAGCCCAATTCTCCCCTAAACGCAGAGTACTAGAAATACATTCAAACGCAATTGCTACAAAAGTTTAAATAGATCCTATGGAGCACAGTCAGCCTCAAGCATCCGCTCAGATGCAAAGATTGTACGCTACAGCAAATCAAAAGCATACAGCAACTTGACTTCCAATTACTCACATCCATCTTCATGCGCAAAACAACAACTACATAGATTTGTCAGATGAATCCCCCTTCATGATATCTTTCCAAAATAACTGCAGAGCACTTGAGTGTGGCACTATGTGACGCGTGGTACTCCAGTTGATCAGCACCCACAAGCTTTGAGCCATATGACTCTGTTACAGTCCACTCTAAAGGGATTGCGTCAGTGAAGTCCAACTGATGTCAGAGACTAAAGCCCCTGCTCTGGAGATTAAGTAATAAGATTGGATTAGATTTGGCAATATATCATCATCATTATCTGGATGGAGCTACAATAAGACCACCTTGGAAGTGAATCTAACACACAGGCTTCTATGAAGAAACGCTGAAAATAAGAACACAGTGTGGTAGATTCAAGTCCTCTATTATCAGTTTGCATAAAACACAGTAGTTAGGTCTCATAATGAATTACTCCAGCTCTTGCCAGTTGGGAAGCGAGGCTGTGCTCAGAGCATCTATAACCTTTGGTCTAGCAAACCTCTCACAATAAATGGGAAAGAATAAATAAAGTGGCCCAACACTACCATTTTAAGTTTGTGTCTGCATTTTAGAGCAGATGCAGAGAAAAAAAGATCAGTTGTAGTAAACCAAAACCTTTAACGAAAAACTAAGAAGCAAGCCAAAAAAGACACCCCGAAACAAACCGAAGAACAATACTAAATTCCCACAAGAGCAGCAATCCCAACACCAATAAAAACAGACAGTTCATCAGTACAAGACACACACACACACACACACACACACACACACACATTCAGTGTATCTTGGCTAGACGACTGCAGACACGATTGTCTTTCATCCATGGAAGACTTGATTTCAGCAGGTGGAATGGCACTTTGCAATAACTCATCATCTGTGACAAAGCCTATGCAAGCAACACAAATGTGCTCCTGTTAGAGCATGCTGGCCATCAGGGGAGAACCCTGCTCTCTCTTTAAAATAAACTGACCTTATAAAAGTAAAAAGTTGGGAAAGCTTTCATTCCTCGTTTACTTCACCTGTACACAAATCTCAATAATACTGCATGATGGATGTATCATGTTTGTTTAACATACACTATGTAAAATTAGGTTTTAGAAAGGCACTGAGCAACATCTTTCAGTGTATGATCCAAATTTGACTTTTCTATTATAACGTGAAGGTAACGTTTCTGTTTGCCTCTCCCTCGCATCACACGTTCAAAACACCGAGCAATCAGCTGACCGCTCCAACATGGAGAAAGTGATCCCCACGATAGCAGCAGCGACGTTTTCACCACAAGATTACCAACGAGTGTATGTCAGCGCAGTGTGGGAAGTTCAACTCAACAAAACGTGTCAGGGGATGAATAAACAAAGACATCTACTGGTTTCCACAACAAAACGCATTCACGATTGTTATCATACCGCCAAACTTCCCGGCTAATGTTTTTTCATGCAAAGAAACTCTGCTGGACCGACGCGGATCTCTGTTTGCAACTTCAAAACAGAAAATCAACAATTAATAACTTAATAGTAAACGCAAATAAATATTCACCGATTAACCAATCTTAAGGATAACGTTAGCCAGGCAGGCGGCTGGCTACAATGCTTATTTGGGGTTAGTGTTCACTAGCTAAGTTACCGCTAACTAGCTCTACGTTAGCTTCAATACTTTCAGAAAGTAACATACAAATTCATTTAAATGTCGCTCTTTTGAAAGAAAAAAACGGACATATGTGTCCCATTAGACGTATTGTTACCCATCTAGCTGACATAGTACAGTTAGCTCGTTCACCTCCTCACTGTTACTGGAGTCGAAGCCCGCATCTCTCTGCCTCCTGTGCTTCTCCGCCACCCCGAGCAGACGCAGCAGGGACGGATCCTCGCTCAACGCCAGGCCGATGTTTACGGGCCTCGGCCCTTCGGCAGGTAGTTCCCCGTCGTCCGAGCCCAATCTTCCGCGTTTGGTACGTTTCTCCGACCGCAATCTGCTGCGAGCCGTGCACGGCCGACCCGGGAAGCGAGCCCGGGCCGGCGCTTGAATGCTCAAGCCCGCAGCGGTAGCGGGAGATGATAATCCGCCTCCCGATGCCGCCATTATTTACTACAACAACACGGACGGCGAGCTGGCAGAGTGTGACAGCAGCGATATGTGAGGCAAGATTGACTGCGCCGATGCAAAGGCGCGAGATAGAAAGGAATCACAAGTGCATCATGGGAAAACGAACTTCTAGCCCTATTGACGCGGTATACCCGCACTACACTGCCTCTGGCAAGCCCTACTCTGCATCTGATTGGCTTACACCGATATTCTTACCATCACCATAACCAATCTCATCCATCATGCCTAAATCTAACCAATCCAACCAACGAGTACTAGCCAATCAGAGGCATAGTAGGGCGGGTCATTCCTTCGCCATAGCAGGATCCGTTATTTAGGTCTCTGGACGACGCCTGTTCGGCAAACTGGGAGACTTCGCTTGTAAAGACCAGTTTTTTTTAAATCAGATATTGTTAAACGTTGACTCCTGTGTATGAATTGCTGAATTATTATAGTACCAGTGGTGTAATATGTATCGAGGTCACTAGTAAAGGAGTGTAAATCTACTACATTACTAGTCCTGCATGCAAAAGCAAAGAAGCAGCTAATGTTAAATAATATGAGATGTATGTTTTGTATGCAAATCTAAAAATAATCTTAAAATGTTTTGCATGAAAAAAGGAAAAATATATTCAGCATTAGACTTTTTTGTATATTGTAGAAGCTAAAATTTACATCAATCTTTTCAAGGTTAAATTTAGTCATGTTTGTCATATAATCAACAATTTGCAGGTTGATTTCCTATATATACACACACACACTATACCAAAGTCATAGCAAAGAAATAAATTTCAATTCAGGGTAACATTTGTTCATAAAAAAATAAATATCGAGTCTATAGTATTGTTATTATTTAGAGCATAATCGTCCACAAAGGAATTACATGAGATGCAGGGAGAAGTGACTGTCAACCTTCACCATTGCTATATTTTATTCAACCATTCACACACACTCACACAAATTGACACAAGTGTTGTTTAATGCAAGAATTATTTACTTGTTGAAGTCCATCATTACAGCATCCTATACACTGGCCATTTTTCAGAATTTTGGGTTCTATGTTTAGGACTTACATTCTCTGTGTAATTGACACCCTTATGTGTACATCCTGAAAATAAAAAACATTCCCACATTTTAGGGAGAATTAGCTAGCTAGTCTACAAGAACAAAAAACAAATCCAGGTACAATAGAGGTAATATGGACAGCAAGGGCCTTGTGACATGAGCTTATAGTGGACATCAATCATAATTATGTATAGATCTGTACAGAGTTTTATTTGCAAGCGTGGGATGTCTTTCTAAAAGCAATTGAAAAACGGCATTCCAGAAACAACCTCCATAAGTCATGTGTTGCATAACCTTGCTTCAAAAACTCTCACCCTAAAATATTCACATAGAAATCTTCTACCTACACTAGACAGATTATGGTACAAAACACTCAGATAATCATTTATGTGAATGACGTAGGATGAAGTTACAGTCTTTTACCCATATATTATCTTTTTTCTGCTGCCACCTCTCCTTCAGCGTGGGTGTTCTGGTGGATCTTCAGGGTGCTCTCTTGTGCAAAGCTCTTTTCACAGATGGGGCAGGTGTATCCAGAGTGGTGATCGCTGGCCACGTGTGCTTTGAGCTGCTCAGGCTGAGTGTAGCTCTCATCACACTCTGTACATGTGTGAGCATTGCGAGGGGGAGGCCCATGTGCCTCCTTTTTGTGTGCCCGCAGTGCTGCAACAGAAGGGAATATGAGGTCACAGTTTGCTTCGGAACAAGGGATCTTGAGCTCGGGTTGCAGCTCATTGGAGGTGCAACCCTCTGTTGTAGAGTTATTGTTTCCTGCTTCGTCTTCTTGTTTGATCTTCTTGCTCTCAACCATCCCTCCTTGAGCTGCGTTCTTGGGTTTACGGCCACGTTTTTTGCCTTGCGGCTTAACGCCACAGTTTATATCATTGGCAAATTTCTCCTGGTGCTGCAGAAGCTCTTCTTCCGTCTTGAAACCGTGACTACATTTGCAGCATTGGAAGGTGTTGATGTCATCATCCACTATGGGGTGCTGGGGGTGCACTGAAATGCGATGGTTGCGAAGGCGTGAAGGGCTGGGGAACAAGGCGCCACAGTCCCTGCAGGGACACCGTCGTTCTATGCACTCATGTCGTCTGTGTTTGTTCAGCTGCAAGACATTAAACATTCATCATACACAATTATTTAATCAGTTCCCAAGCACAATAAAGCATGTAGCCTGCTGCGCACTCACCTCAGTGAAGGTAAAGAAGTTTTTCTGGCAGAAAGCACAAAGGAAGGGCTTCTCCTCTGTGCTGTGGGTGGCCTGGTGCTGGCTTAGCTCCTCCGAGTAGGAGAAGCTCTTGTCACACTTATAGCAAGTGAAGACTGTATCAGTCTGCAAGAATGATGAGCAGGAAATTGGTTAAAAAATATGAAATCCTAACTAAAGGCATTGTTCAGAGATTGTTGAAAGAATGATGAAAGATGTTTACAATAGTCAACTGAAGACAATCTTTCTTGAGGTTCAATTACATCTTCACTTTCATCTGGAATGATATAATGTATAAAAAGACTACATTTTGCAGAAAATCTGCATCAATATCAGAGCCTGACTGATACATCAGCCCCGCAATATTTGTCAATATCAGCAATACAGAAGAAACTGCAACTCAGAAGATTTGTGTTAGGGAGCACTGACTAATGTTTCACCTGTAAAATGTCCCATACTGTATATTGATATATCGGCCACAGAAATACCAAATCAGGTAACTCTTATATATACACAGCATCCCACTTCGTACCGCAGTTGCAATTCTTAGAAATCACTTGATCTTAAACAATTTGTCAATTATTTGATCAACAGAAAATTAACAATTTGCTGTTTGTATGTTTTCTATGAGACTATAGTAAAAGAAAATTGGATTTTTAGACTGTTGGTTGGACAAAACAAGCTATTGAATACATCAAACCGCTTTATGGAAAATAAAGAGCATTCTCACTGTTCTCTCATACTTTATAGATCAAACAATATATGGACAAAACAAATTGCAGATTAATCGATAATGCTAACAATGACAGCAATAACATCAAACCGTATTACACATGAATTGCTTGAGTTTGTATCACTACTTGAATCCTGACCTTGCATTTATATTTACAGTCTGCTTTTTCCTACCTGCTGCAGGTGCTGTTTGTACTGGTCCCGATGACTCTTCCTCATGTGTCTCTCCTTGGCTTTGGAGTTACAGAAAGTGATGAAGCACTGAAAACATTGCAGACTCTCGTGCTGATCTGCATCACAATGAGATGACACGTTGTTTTATTATCAGTTACAGCGGGTATAGAAATATACAACTGCATGCTATACTACGATTGCTGTCAAATGAGAAAATAATTATTTTAACATCATCACATCGTGCATGAACTATGCAATAATACATGTTAGCTTACAGGACTGTAGAGGGGCGACCACGGGCTCAGACTTGATCTCCGCCGCCGTGGTGGATCTCCTCTCATTCCCAACAATGACTTGCTCGATCTTCATCATTTCCATGCTGATGCTTTCAGACTCTAATCAGCCACGTGGAGCTGCAACGTTGAAACACAATGTACAGCTCATGCATCTTCAATGTTTTGTTTGCGGGCAAAGATAAAGCCACAACAGAAGACTGCAGTGGCAGACGTGAGTCTAGCATTAAATTAACCCGCGTAAGAGGCATCGGGATGTTTCGGATAAATATTCTGATATTGGAGGTTGGGAAAATTGAAAACAGTGTAAAATATCTCGATTAAATACATCCCCGATGAGAGGCTGATTGTCTTTTAACGTTGGGCACACTAGTTATGAAATAAAGACAAAACACAACACATGTCGTTAGGCCTGAGCTAGTTAGTTGACAGCAAAACGGACACTGATGCACAGCGACAACCGAAAGCGAGAGGACTGTGCCTCTGTATTTCAACATTTTGAATCCCGTTGCTTCGTGCTTACTTCCGTGTTACGCCTTTGTACTTCAAATCTGCACAAATATGAGAAATCGGGATGAATTTGGACTTCAGTCTTTGTAAACAATTCAAAAAGGGATCCATTTCTTACCGTACGAAACGTCCGCCGAAATGAAGCCGCAGTGATTCTGCCTACATCACGTGATATGAGAAGGGCTGTCGATCATGGAGATATCGCGAGATTATGGAACTGCGGTTTTGTCACAGCAGTGGCTTTTGAACGACATTAGTCCCTCAGGGCACACAGCTTTTAAGTTTTAAAAGGCGACAACATGCTTTATATTACTTGATAACTATATGAATTGAGGCGCATGATTGTTTTGTTACAAAACCAAAAGTTTGAACTGGGGCAGCGTTATACAGTAGCATATTTATATAATTTAAAAATATATATATTGTATTTTTCCCCCTATAACAAATAGTGAACCTTGGCTGTTAAACTTTCTGCTTATTAATGTTCACTGCACACTGTTAATTCCTAAACATTGATGATCATTTATTTTTTTAAACAAGAAAAAACATTTGCATAATAGCTGCAGTGCTTCAGTGGTTTAATAACCTTTGATTATAATAATTCTATCATACTGAAACTACTCGTTTGAAAAATATGAACAAAATTAATATTGCCAGTTGTTCCTTTCCACAATTTTCTAGACATTAAACACTTTAAAAAAAAGATTAAAATAAAACTAAAAGAACAAAAAAAAGTAGAGTATAATTAAGATTCATAGAATTTTATTGGTTATCATCAGACAAGGCAGACACATCAATGTAAAACTTGATGATAAGGTGAGAAGACGGCACATATTTGTTTTAAATAATTTGTCAATGAAACAACACAGGGTTGAGGGCAAATAGGCAGAAGAACGAGTTCAAGGAGTTAGAAGAGCCATTTAAGCCCTGGCCTGCTGCTTCTGCTGGTGATCAGCAATTCTACTTTCCATCACAGGCCTGAAGTGCCTGATCAATCCCTGAGAAAAGAGAAAACAGAGGAAAATGGTACATTAAAAAAGTAGAAGAGTAACAGAGACTGTCGATAAACAGTACGTCAGAGTGTATATTTACAAAAAAATGGAAAAGTGTTAATTCCTAGAAGAGGTAAAGGTTTAAAGTTGAGATTAAGAGTATTTGTTTTAGGTTATGGTTTGTGGTTGGGGGCTTACTCTTCATAGCTACACCTAGCTAAATCTACTACAATCCAACACAACTAACTGGCAATCAATCTTTCCTTTATGAAACTTATCATATTCAGTTTTTTTACTCTGCTGAAGAGTTTATTGAATTCTGTAGTAATCTTTGTCCACCCTCAATCACAATTCACAAGATAATGGAAACTGTTGTTAATTTAATGCAAAATGCTACCATACAACAGCACCACAGACTGCAACTGGCAAAATATTAACTTATTCATTTTTTCGATTGATGCTGTTGGTCCATGTGTTTACCTGCACTGGCCATGCCGCACCATCTCCCAGGGCACAGATAGTGTGTCCCTCAATCTGCTTACTGAGCTCCCAGATCATGTCGATCTCTGATGGCCGTGCATCACCCTTCACAAAACGCCACATCATGTCATTCATCCAGTCCACTCCTACAGAAGCAGGTGAAAGGGAAATTTAGAGGTATTACGAGACACTGAAAAACCCAATATGTGTGATGTTATGGTCGGTGCAGAAAATGACACTGAAGTAGCTCTTACCTTCCCTGCAGGGTGTGCACTGACCACAGCTCTCATGCTTGTAGAATTCAATCAGGCGGGCAATGGCTCTGATAATGTCAGTCTGCAAAAAAGAATGCATCCACCAATGTAACAGATGTTTGATGATTAATTTATGCAGGAGGAATTATGGAGCAGAGGTGGCAGCTCACAGATTTGTCCATGACGATAACTGCAGCTGTGCCCAGGCCAGTCTGAGCCTGGAGGAGGCCATCGAAGTCCATCATCACCTCTTCACATACCTTCTTGGGAATAAGCGGTGTTGAGGAGCCACCGGGGATTACAGCCAGCAAGTTATCCCAACCACCACGCACACCACCTACCAGACGGATGTTCGTTTCAATTAAGTAAAAAGAAAAACTGCAGTTACTCAGGGCGTGCTTATGTTAAGCTATCTTAATCTTTTCGGTCTCTGACCCCCTTGGGGCAGATAAACAAATGATGCATTTAGGTTTTCCGAATTCCACCAGTTTCACTGAATTATTTACAGGAGGGCTTTCCTAATTCACCAGAAAAAGTAATTTTCTTCCATTCAGTTGATTTTTTACAAAACCCCCTGACTCAAGTCATATAACAACTACAAACAGCTCCCTCTACACACCAGTTTGAGACCCAAGGTGTTAATATTTACTCAAAAACATTGTCTCAGTGATATGAGTCAAGTGGGCTCATTAGATACATTTTGTGACACATTCTTAGCATCATAGTACCTGCGTGCCTCTCAATGAGTTCTTTCAGAGGGATAGACATCTCCTCCTCTACAGTGCAGGGGTGGTTAACATGGCCAGAGATGTTGAATAGCTTTGTGCCGGAGTTTCTCTCTCTGCCAAAGCCCAGAAACCACGAGCCGCCACGACGACAGATGGTGGGCGCCACGGCTACAGTCTCCACATTGGCAACAGTTGTTGGGCAACCAAACACACCTTTAAGATAGCAGCAGAAGTGAGAAACGATATTTTAGTGCCACTTTTATTTGGCAGGAACAAGAGTTTTGCAGTCGCTCACTGTGTTCAGATCATAATAACTAGTTGAAGATAATATGTGAGAATGCACGGTGGGATACAAGCTAAGAAATTATATGGTCAACATTTTCTCCTTGTTTGTCAATATTTTGTACCGCCCTCGTAAACCCTCTCTGTGCACCTTAACTCACCCACATCAGCAGGAAATGGGGGCTTCAGACGGGGCTTCCCCTGCTTTCCCTCCAGGGACTCGATAAGAGCAGTCTCCTCTCCACAGATGTATGCTCCAGCACCCCGCATCACAAACACATCAAAGTCAAAACCGGTGCCACAGGAGTCCCTTCCAATGAGCCCTGCAGCATAGGCCTCGTTGATAGCTACCTAAGAGCAGAAATAGAAAAAAAGCAATGCTTCAACAGGATGAATGACTACATAGTCTTATACAATCATACGTTGTGTTTTCTACTAATCTCCTATTACAGTCATGAGCACTTGGTCTGCACTATGTCAAAATAAACCTGATTAAGACAACACTGCAATGCACTACAATGCAACAATGTAAACAGCATTTTTGGTTAACATGTCATAGTTGTATACCTCATAGTGAAATTAAGATTATGTGGATATGAGCATCAATCTTCCTTCATGAACTTTACGGTATGTCAAATGGAGCTGAACGCTGAAAAAACTGGTTGGCAGACCTCTGAGCTTCTATTATGTTGTTAAACACAAGATATGTCGAATAATGCGAAATTACTTACATTTCCGAGAGCAATTTCATCTGCATATGCTCTACAAAATACTTCTTATATGAGTTTTGACTATCAAGGATTTAGCTGAATTATGCAAGAATGATTTGAAGCACAAATGTGCATAAAAGTGGTTGTGTATTGTTTTTGGATAATATCATGTTGAGAGGAGTGTCGAAACCAACAGATCAATAAGCAACATATATTAACAGATCAATCAAACAAGACTCTTATTTGGAGTCAGGTTCGCTGTTATGCCATTAGAGAGACTGACCTATGATTTGAACCGAATGTTGAACAAGGTCTGAACAGTTTGGGAACAATTCCAATTTGTTTTTTAGAAACAAGGTATTGATCCACACATAAATAAAGTTTTTTTTCTCCGGTATATGGTGTTGTATTGGCTGTTCTGCATCTGTCGGTGGGTTGGGTGTTCGTCATGAGCATTGTTTGAATTTCACTACAAATTATTACCAACATTTTAGTATGAGGTCAAATGTTTCTCAGTGTTGTATTCCAAAGCAACTATTGAATCATGAAATGGTATTTACTGATTTTACAGTGAATTGTGTGAATGTTACTGACACGTTATTGTTTTTAAGATACTAATGTTTGTTTGTTAATTCCTATTTCCATAAATTGACGTGGAACCGTCCGTGAGACAATGTACAATTATTTAAAGGTTTATATTTCAGGTTTCATTGTGTTCATATTCACCTGCAGGTTGGACGACTCATTGTAGAACTCTCCTCTGATATAGATATAAGCAGCACGCGCCCCCATGGCCCTCCCAGCCACCAGGCAGCCCTCCACCAGCTTGTGTGGGTCATGCCGCATAATCTCTCTGTCCTTACAGGTGCCAGGTTCTCCCTCATCTGCATTCACCACCAGATACTTTGGCCTAAAGCAAGACATTAGAACTGGGTTAAATAGGTATGGCAAACTTAATTTTGTCCCAGAGCAGCCACCGTGGTGAATGTGTCCAAAAAGTCTGAGCGGATGTTTGGCAACAACATCCATCCAAATATAGTTTCATGGTTTCAACCAAGATTTCAAAGCTGCTCCAGTCAATTTTGTCAGCTTCAACAAATGTTGATTGCAAGAGACCATGTGAATTTATGTTCAGTGAAAATCATTTAGAAATTGCATACTCGGACCTTAATGGCTCCTTCTTAATTCCTAGGGATGGAATTAATGAAAAATGAACTTGCCGTCTTTTAGAAAAGATAAATAAAATATCAAGCTTTGGATATATAAATATGTTAAAAGAATGCAAAATACCGTCTTTGCCAATTGCAAGAATTGGTTACTTCTAATAAATGATAAAAACATTACTGTAAAATGAATTGTCATTTACAATCATAATAACTTTTGAGTTCAGATTCATCACTCCCAATGTGCTGAGAAGATTTTACACCTAATGTTATTATTTTGAGGTACCAGCACAAATACTTGGGGCAAAATAAGGAACATGGACATTCTTCACTGTTGGTTTACATTCTGTAAGACATTTGTCTTTCGATATGAATCTGGTAAAAAAAGAATATCAAGCAAAAAAAAAAAAAAAAAAAAAAGAGCAGAAGGGTGTGTATCCGTCTGTATCCTCACTGACCTGCCATCGCTGGGCTTGTTCATGAAGCTCCACTTCATGCCAGTGGGGAATCCAGCTCCGCCTCTCCCACGTAGGCCAGAACCCTTGATCTCATTGAGGATCCAGTCAACTCCATTCAAAAGGATCTCCTTAGTTTTGTACCAGTCGCCACGCTTCAATGCCCCCTTCAGCCTGAAACACAAACATGAGAGGATGAGGATTGTGTTCTGTTTTTTTTTTTTTTCAAAAGAAATTATTTATAACATTTCAATCTGTCTCCAATCTGTCAGGTCAAAGGCATGTATGACTGGAATTCTTCTTTAACTGTTCTGTTCTTTAACTGCACGGCACATTCTTTTGTATTGTGTGAGGATCAATAGAAGCAATATGGATATAATGTTTCAGATTTTACAGAGCCCATAAGAATAAGCTGGTAAGGGGTGTTACCTCCAGTCATGGCGGCCATAAAGGTTTGTGAAAATTCTGTCCTCATCTGCCAGAGGCCCAAATGTTGTTTTCTTAGGAGCAGTCTGAGCAATAGAGACAAACACATAATCAGTGTCTACTTCTTAACCATATTTTTACAATTTACATTTTTTCAAAATACAGGCCAGGTACCTGAGCTGTGCTGTTGAATCGGGTGATAGCAGTCACTCCCCCTTGACTGACAGCAGCTGGAGCACGGGCCACCCCACACACCACTGCTCGAGACAGAGACAGCATCCTTCCTGCACAGAGGAGAGACAAATCAAACGGATTTGGAATGTCTTGTTTTGCATGACCAATAGTCCTAAACCCAAAGGTGTTTAGTTTACAGTGATATAAAACAAAGAAAATAAGTAAATCTTCCCATTCATCCCATCCACATTCTCTAGAACCAGAGTGTTTGACAGTTTTGATGAATGAAGATGAATGCGGCCAAGTACAGAGATATCCTGGAAGAAAACCTCTTCCAGAGTGCTCTGGACCTCAGACTGGGCTGAAGGTTCACCTTCCAACAAGACAATGACCCTAAGCACACAGCTAAAATAACAAAGGAGTGGCTTTGGAACAACTCTGTGACCATTCTTGACTGGCCCAGCCAGAGCCCTGACCTAAACCCAATTGAGCATCTCTGGAGAGACCTGAAAATGGCTGTCCACCAACGTTCACCATCCAACCTGATGGAGCTGGAGAGGATCTGCAAGGAAGAATGGCAGAGGATCCCCAAATCCAGGTGTGAAAAACTTGTTGCATCATTCCCAAGAAGACTCATGGCTGTACTAGCTCAAAAGGGTGCTTCTACTCAATACTGAGCAAAGGGTCTGAATACTTATGACCATGTGATATTTCAGTTTTTCTTTTTTAATAAATTTGCAAAAATTTCAACATTTCTCTTTTTTTCTGTCAAGATGGGGTGCTGAGTGTACATTAATGAGAAATAAAATGAACTTTTTTGATTTTAGCAAATGGCTGCAATGAAACAGAGTGAAAAATTTAAAGGGGTCTGAATACTTTCCGTACCCACTGTATATGTCACATTCCACGGCCCTATCAAATGACAATACACATTAGTCATATTACAGGAGTCAAGCTGTAAAAACAACATTTTGTCATGGCTGCTAAATGGCGTCTTCATACCATTAAACTGCATCTAATCAACAGACGTCGAGTGAAAGCAGATGCTGGTTCTATTTCAACAAAAGTTACAAACACTAGATTCACTTTCTTTTTTTTTTGGTGACGACCAATAGACATGTTAATACACGTTTGTTTGGTACTGTAACAGCTTTGCAAGAGATCTTGTGTAACTTGTTATGAGGCGTTATTATGTCAGAGGTAACGTTGTTGAGAGAAGTTAGCTAACGAAGGTGAGGGTGAGAGCCAGCAATGTTATCAATCCACACAACACTCCAAGCTGTAATATTTCGGATAAACACACTTTTATAAAATGGAGTAATCATGGGTAACGTTACAACTAAACTATTTTACCTCGCTTAAAGAGGACACCTGAGCCCCATGCAGATATAGCTAACGTTAGCTACTGCTAGTCTAGCGCTACGCTAAGTCAGCTAGCGGTTAACCTTGTAATGTCAGAATAACATCAGCGGATTCACGACGTAGCATCCAGATATAACAATGACAAAACATGAATGAACTCGTTTATAACAGTTTTAATGGCAGCTGCATTAAAAGCAGTTAAATCATAACGGGTTTGATGTAAGTTAGCAAACAACCGGCGCTGCTTACCTTGTCTAACGATACGACCCAAGTTTATGAAACACTGACAGGAAGTGAAGACCACACGGCCGGAAGCTGTCATCAACAACACTGCAGCAGCGCTGTTGAGGCTTCTTTAAAAGTTTTGGTTGCACAACATGCTGACTATGAACCGCCCTCTTTGCATTTAAGAAAAAACTATTTAATAACAACAGTTTACCCTCACTGAAGGTCAGTCTGTAAGTGTATGTTTAGAAGTCCTGATACAGTACCTGGTGTAACGTTACTTCAATTTAGTGCTGATGATTACTGTATAATACTTCAACTCTAATAGTTACATTTCAGAGGGAAATATTGTACTTTTTCACTCCATTTGAGAGCTATACTTACTTATCACTTTTCAAAAATAAGACTTTAAAAATTTAACATATAGGTCCGGCTTATATATCATAAAGCTATATGTCATAAATATAAATATAAAACAAAACAATATATATATATATATATATATATATATATATATATAT